CAAACTCGATAATTACGGTATAGTTGAAGGCTTTGACGTGAGTGAGACTTGTGCCGCTGGTGTTTGTAATATTAGCGAATTTTAGATTTCACAAAACAAGTTACGTGCAGTTCGACGTTCGGATAGAAGTTGGCGTTACGGTTAGATTTACGTCCGTTCGCGACGTAAGGCGCCGTTACCCAACGTCGTTGGCTGACGCGTAAAAACTATCTGCCTGACGTGGAACTGTGCAACGGCTCAGCCATATCGCTGAGCAATAAGCCAGCGTATTCTGCCTGTGGATTTTTTTTGTGCTCTAACCGCCTCCCCGAGAGCAGGTTGGTCACGCTCTCGGCACTCTCGATTCGATTTATTTTTCAGCTGTACGTCACTGCAAGTCTGCATCCGTACAAGCATTTTAAACGATTTTCAGTCTGCTAACGTACTGTTTATGTGGCGCGGTAGTTTCTAGTGGAAGGAGCCTAAACCATGTGAAATCTAAAATTCCCTAATATTTTTTCGGAGGCTGACGATGAAGGGCAGACTAGACATGCTTATCATGGACGGTGGGTGAGCCGTACGATGGAAACACATTTTTATTTTTCTTCCATTTCAAATTAAGCGACTGGTCTCAACTGACGTATGTAGATTGCAGACGCTGTACGGGCATTTTCCTGATTTAATTTTCGTTTCTCTAGCAAACGCACCATACAGACCATACAGACCGCAGGTTTAGCAGCAAATTAATTTGGATAAGAATCCACTGTCAACAGGCATTGTAGCTGGGTAAATACTGAATTGGCAGGGTCAGAGAGAGGAGACGGCAGCGATTTCACATGGTTTGGACGGGGCCTAAACCATGTGAAATCTAAAATTCCCTATTGAATCATGCACCGTACGTGATTCAAATAAATGCGATAAACGGAGCCATCCGAGTGTACTCCTACGGTATGTACCGTGCTGTAATTTCTTTACTGTATTTCTAGGTTTTAAACGAGTCGATCGGTGCTGATCCACGTGCGGCGCAGAATGGCGTACCGGAGAAATGGACGCGCGATAATGTGGATGTGTACAAACTGTCAAAAGTGGCGCAACTTGCCCTGGATTGCTACCTCGAGAAGCGCCTGCCTTACAGTGGCCACTAAGGATTCAGATTCTGCGGTTGTTGTCAAAGCGCTTTGTTGAAATTGATGGTAATTAGCCAATTTAGCCCTATATTGTGTGGCAGCCAGCACCGGCATCGCGTTAATTGTGTAATAGGTCCCGGACTTTCGATCGACGGTGAAATAGTTATCGACGTACAGTTATAGTGTAATGTGTACTACTTTAGTTGGTCTATGAATTTAGGATACTTAATAATAATGTGTTTACGCTTTACGCTTTTTTATAAGCTGCGCTACCTTTTAACCAACGGAAGGATAGAGAGGTTGGTTGTTTTTCGTTTAGTTTCTGTTGTACGGTACAGTGTGCACGCGCGTGCACCTTGCCTTATTCTGATGGATATTTTCTATTGCATTCTCTAGTAAATAAGACACGACTTGCCGCTTGTGTTGTTACGACAGAAATAAATTGAAGGGGAACATGGTTACTGGCTAATCTGAGCAGTGCTGTCTACTGGACTTCATAATACTGTGATTGAATTTTTCCAGTAAGTACACAAATGATTGCGTCTGCTAAGGCATCATCTACTCTAGAATCTAGATAAAAGAAACACTACATAGACCTACATAGGCCATACATCACGTGTTCCTGGAAGCGCAGCGGAAGTGAGAGAGAATCAGAAGTTACGGAAGTACGATGGACTCGCGGATCGATACGTAGTACAACCTCTGGCTTTTGAAACTACGGGAACCTTTGGACCGCTAATCAAGAAGTTTTTCAAAGACCTGTCAAGAAAGATTTGCGAATGTAGTGGTAACCCTCGGTCGGGAGAGTTTTTGCGTCAGAGAATCAGCACCGAGATACAACGCGGAAGTGCGGTGTCTGTCCTCGGAACATTTAATGAGATGCGAGACAACGAGGACGTTTTTTTAGCTTTTAGATTGGCTGATCGGGAATGATTAGTGCCCGATGTTGTTTTTCTTCTCAGCTCGGCTGTGATTTTGTTATTATTGAAAATAAAAAAAAAGAAACACTTATTACTAAAGCGGTTGAATACCGGTTAAACGGTTCACCATGTGGTGACTTTCTCTCCTGAACCGCTTCGCTTGAAAGATAATGAATTTATCAAAAGCTGCTTTTCTATTTCTAAACCTGATCCGTTTTCTTTTGTGACGTTCTAGCAAATTAGGCCTGTGATTTATTTGTCCACACAGACAGCACAGTGAACTGGTTTTTTTCGCTCTGATAATCGTAGCTGATTGGTGACCACGCATCCTTTTCCAACCTGAACAGTCGTAGAGCTCCCTCGATAGGGCTGTATAAGCAATTCGAATTCGAATTCGTTTTAAGAGCACAGTTTTTATACTTAATTAACTAATATATAATTATCGGACTCAAAGTAAGATTCCTTCCAGAGGTCGAACAAAATCTGTTCTGACGGGCGCTGTTTTACCGCGACGCTCATTTAATGGAGCTGGACGCGGGAGGGCGAGAACCTGTCGGTTGTCCGCAACTTTACCGAGGACGAACTTATGGCGGCTAGCACGACGTTGACTGACGCGTTACAAGTTGCAACCGACCCTTTGATCTCTATGCCGATTGTGTGGCCAGTTCCTCTGAGTGCCGAAAGCAGTGGGCACTGAGCTGCCGCACCCAGGCGGCTAGCAATAGCTGAAGGTGTTCAGTGGTGCAGTTAAGCTGCACCGTATTAGAGTAGACTACTCTGTGCCCACGACAGCCGCCCTGTGCTACGTGGATCTCACTCGGTAGCCAGCGGTTCGATTCCGCTCCATCGCCATTTTTGCGAATGCCTCACGGAACCGCCCTCTTCGCTGAGATCCCCACGGACAGCCGACTTAGGGCTGACTCTGTAACAACCGTGACTCCGACACTCCAGTACTTTGATTAAACTTACTTGTTAGCAAGCTCCTGACTCGTCAGTTTTCAAACAAGGAAATGCTGGGATGTAACCTGTGTGGACACCGTCGCGCGCTCTTATCTGGATCACACCAGCTTAAGGGCCGGAGCGGCAGCCGACCAGGCAGAAGCTGAAAAAGTGCAAAAATACAGCTTCCTGTCAGGACGATATGAGTTCGCTGCTGTTGGATTCGAAACTTTTGGTAGTTTTGGTTCATCAGCCAAGAAACTGGTTAAAGAAGTCGGAAAGAGGGTTGAATTACAAACAGGCGAGATTCGCAGCCATGAGTTTTTAAAGCAGAACATTTCTTTAGCTATTCAAAGAGGAAATGCCGCTTCTGTTATTGGTACCGTGGAAAATGTTGTTTTGTTTAAGTGTAACTGAATCTTGATATTGTTATCGCTCTATTGGAAATTAAAAATTTATTAACAGGAAATGCTTGCCGAGTTGTCGTGAGTTAGGTAGCATTTAAATGTAATTTCATCCTCAATTCTTCGATCGATCCACCATCTGCCACGTGCTGGGTAATTGTCAACCGATAAATTCATTTCTTCCGGAGCCATGCACCTCTTCCAGAGCAGATATTACCAGAATGGAAACGTATACGATATGCGCCAGTGGAACGCTGTGGACGTGTTGATCAACGGGACGCTGCAGCACGGCGTCGTCATCGGTCTGGCGTCTGCGGGCAGCGGGAAGCACGGCGTGCTGGTCGACTTCGATTGTGCGCAGCGTCACTGCGAGCTCGTTGAGTACGGCAACGTCTTCAGCTGTCCTTCTCCGACCACCGACCCCTGGGATCAATGGACGGACCCCACATGGGCCGAGAGCCATCCGCTGCAGGGCTTGCTGCGCGTAGGTCCACAACGTGCGTGGACGTGGTGGCCTGTCAGAATCATTCCGCCAGAGGGCGCTAGCAATGGGGGCACGGACTGCATCGATATCGATTGTGTACTGGTTGAGGTGCAGCTGGGAGGTGTGCTGATCACCGAGCTGCTGCCCTGCAATCAGATCCGTTGTGTGCCATCACCTCAAGATCTGGCGCAACGCCGTTTGGGTCCTGACTATTTTACCATCCGTGAATGCCGTCTGCCCGGACGTTACTGGGCGGCCTCCAGTGGGGCGACGCGGCTGTTGTGGCAGAAGCTCAGCCGGGACTCTAGTGCTTGCTGCATCGCCGTGCGTAGTGACACTTTCACGTATTTCCAACGGATCGATGGACGTCCTATAACACGTGTTGCCTTGGTACGTAAGTTCTTACAGTTTATGTTAAAGAGGATGACTTTGTGTAAACCTCCAACTATCTTCTTGACGACAATGGCTTTTGATTTTGAAGGAAACCAATTTGAACGTTGCTGGAGAGTGTGCGTACTTTTTAACTCTAGAAGGCACCGATCTAGCAGGCGAGTGGATTGGCCGGCGCTTTGCCACTCCGGCGAAGACCGTTAACGCTCCGCCCGCAGAACCGGGACAAGCTGGGCGGGGCATCCCCTTACCACGTGAAATATTGGCTGAAATCTTCCAGTCGCTGGATACCATCGAGCGGGCACAGAAGCGACACGTCTGCCGCCTGTGGGATATAGTTGTCAGCGGGGATGCCACTGGCGGTCGGCATCTGTGGATCTCCTGCCGTAAGCGACACATCTACCGTTCCGAGCAGTTTCTGCTGGCTGGATGCTTGATAAAGTGCGCCACGCCGACCACTTCGACGTTAGTTATCGAGGATGCCAAAGAACTTGTTTCGGCATCCTGGGCGAATGTGCGCGGACTGTTGGCTAATCGGTGTGTGAGACGAGGCTCACTAGCGTTCACGCCCGTGGCGCTAGGCGCTACGCCTTCGGATTACGGTCTGTGACGTGTCTCGCTTTGATTGGCTTGAGTTGTGTTAGTGGGCGCGGCATAGCACGTGCTGCACAGTGTTACACACTGTTGAATGGGCTCCACGCTTTACGATCGAGCTGCGCCGATCATTATTGATTTTTCTGTTCTCCAGACTTTTCAATATTAAAAAGTCAGCGATTTACGGTGCGACGTTTGTGTTTCCGCATAGCTCGCGATCCATATCGTATCGCTCGCTTCTACGGGATAGATTCCGTTTCTGTCTCCGTCTGTGGATCTATTCTGGATCTACCATTAGATGGTAGCAGAGCCGACAGCGGTTCTCTGATTTGATTTGTGTCAGGCAAAGTTGGCCTGTCATTGACGTGGAACCCGACCAGTAAGGCACAGGTCTGTACTCACAGCAAAGCGCAACACCACAAGCGGTGCAATTCCTCCATCTGACGTGGATTTTCCAGCTTCGGTTTTCGGTACGGGATCTTCAGCGAAGAACCGTACTGTTTCCTTAGCTGTGCAAGAGTTCAAGAGAGCAGTCGCCAGTGTTCCTCGGTGTAGAGTCTTCAGCGAAGACCTACACTGGTGTCATTGGTACTCGGCAAGGATTCAGCGAATCCTAAGCCGTGGGGCAGAAGCGCCGAAACGCCGAAAGGGGCGTACGGAAAAGACCGATCAGACTCCTCCAAACTGGAGTAGAGCGCCATCACTGTTGCTACGGCAGTCAGCCGGCACAGTAACCTATTAAAAGCGTGCGGCACCACCGTTACGGTAAAACCGGCGGCAGCGCGGGAACGGACAGTGGAGAAGAAATTGGATCATCTGGATCGTTTTCCCCGTGGAACGGACGGTTAACAGGTAGAAAACCGTTATTAATTACGAGATTGGTTAGACGGTAAAATTGTCAATTTTTATTGGTCCGTTCTGAGCTGAGCGTAAAAATAGGCGGAGTTTTGCACACGGCGCGCATGTCTGGCCGTTGACCGTGACGTCAGGCAGATATAAATTTTTAGAGGAGCAACGTGATTGGTCAGTTATCTGAGCTGTGATTGGTTGAAATTTGAACTGAATGATTTGCGCTAGCTGACCAATAGGAATGAAGTAAACAACCCGAATGGGGATTTTCCGTTGAACTCGAGTCGTAATGGGAAATTTGATTTGAGATGAGATAATTGAGCGGGAAAGTGACCTTTTAACTTGAATTGAGTTGAGAAGTGACCTTTTGAGTTGAGACAAAGGAAAAGTGACCTTTGATCGAATTGAGCTTAAAAGTGACCTTTAACTGGAATTGAGCGGAAAGTGACCTTTTAACAGAAATTGAACTGGAAAGTGACCCTTTGAGTTGAGTTGAGTCGGGAAGTGACCTTTGAGACCAGAAGTTGACTTTTGACTTTGAAAAGTGACCTTTACCAAAAAGTCGGAATTGATCAAATTGACCTAATTTTAGTGACCTTTATGATCTGAAAGTGATCAACGGTGACCTTTAACGAAGTTGGAATTGAGTTGATTAATAGTACAGCGATATCAGTAGCTGTAGGATTTCATTCGCTAACGTATTCTGAGCTGTAAAAGCGGTTTTGAAGTTTTGTCCGAAAGTGACCTTTTAGGGCAAATCTCTCGAACTTTTACCGAAAAAGTGACCTTTACAAAGGACTTAGTCGAAATTTTTCAGTCGAAAAGTGACCTTTAATAAGGACTTAGAAAAATTTCGGAGGTACAGAGTGACCTTTAGGATTATTGAATAAACCATACAATAACGCGTGTGTGAGAACAATTGGCAGGAGCGTCCGAGTTATCCGATCAACATGGATAAAGACAAAGAGGAACCGACATCTACCAGCAGTCAGGGAAGCAGGAGCTCCCGAGGATCACAACAAGGCACAGTTGATCCTTATAAGAAGGAATATAAGTCGCTCGCGCGTCCAGTCGGACATGACAGACAGACCCGAGCGGCTGTGACCTTTGCAAGAAAAGACAGCAAAGGCAGCGACAACACATACCAAGTGGCGCTCGGAGCAATACAGAACGAAGAGAGCTCCAGCGGTGACGGAAAGGAAACCCCCGCATCTGCGGCGGGAAGTCATCCGATGAACCAGATAAAGGTCACCGGGGAGGAGAAGTCCACAGAAACAGGAGTGGAAGCAACGGGGGCATCACAGTTGGATGCCACCATTAGCGGAACGGATGAGCAGGATAAAAATGCGAACCTGACTCAATCGAAAATGGAAAAGACAAAGGTCACCGAAGAGGAACTAGCCGAACTGGGATTGGATGACCTTTCACTGAACGATAAGACCGCGGACGATGACCTTTTTGCAACTCCAATGGTCTCAGATGAATCCAACGAGTCATACTTCACAGATGATGACGCAACGATGAATATGTCCTTTCAAACTGCAATGAAAGAGGCTGACCGAGCAGAAGAAGTGACCCCGTTTAAGGATATCCCCGAACATTTAATTGACCGGACACAGAATGGAAAGGTTATCAATGTACGACCACAGTCACCAAACAGTCCTACGTTAACTCTTAGGAGACGCGTAAGGGAGCTGGAAAATGAACTTGATGCCACTGAACGTCATGCGGACAAGCGGAAACAGGAGTATCGAGACAGATTATCGACACTCGAAACTCGCTTATTCGAATTGGAACAGCAACAGGGTGACCTCCAGAGCTCCGCAGACGGTTGGAAAGTCAAATATGAGCGACAAAAGGAAATTGCAGAAGAGTACCTAAAGATGGCAGATGACAGAGAAATGGAAGGTCATCTCGCTGTCAGCGACCTTAATGAAAGCATGTCAGAAGAATCAGCAGAAAGGTCACGACACTTAGCCGAATTGAAGGACGAGTGTGACCAGTTGCGTCAAAAGGTCACTGAAGCTGAAACTAAACGGGACGAGTACGCGACCAAATTCGCAGAGGTCACACAACGGTTGACAACACTGGCAACGGAGACGTTCAAACTAAGGAATGACTTGAAGCTACGGGAGGAGGCTGTCAGTACTCTGCAACTCGAATCGAAAGGTCATCAGGAACGGGCTGACGAAGCTGAAAAGTCGCGCAATGAGGCAATCAAGGCGATGCGAGAGGCAAGAGACATTACAGCCACTGAAGGAGCACGCCTGAAAGAAGAAATCAAAAGGTCAACCAGGAGAACGAAAAGGTCACAGAAGACATTGAAAAGGTCACTAAGGAAGGACTCAAATGGCAGAAGGAAGCACGGCGACTGGACACAATGGTCACAACATTGGAGCTGAAGGACAAAGAGTGGCAACAACAGGTCGCTCAAAAGAGTCAGGAGATTGCAAAGCTGAACACTGACCTCGTCGAGATGACCACCACAGCATTGGCAAAAGATGATGAGTTGATCGCAATCAAGGATCAGCTGAGATCAGCCGCTGGGCAGTATCAGCAACTCGAAAATGAAACGAGTGAGCTGGTCGAGCACATCAAAAAAGATGGAACAGGAAAATGAAAAGGTCACCCAGCAGGAGTCTTTTAAATTGCACGAACACTTACGAAAGGTCAACCTGGAAAATTCTGATCTAAAGAGAGAAAGAGAAGAACTTCAACTGAGAACTAAACGATTGGAAGATGAGAACAAGGCACTCCAAACGTCAGTCAAACATAAGGACGAACAACTCCTGCAATATGGAGTGAAGACGGCAACAGTGGAGTCTCCCCCGCCCAGTTACAGCAAGGCGCGTGAAACGGGCACGGGCAAAAGCTTCCATTTTGAAATGCCCTTACGGACTGGCACTGGCAGAGGAAATGTCAAAGCAGAACAAGACGGTGAAAAGGTCAAAGACGATAAGGATAAGGAACCACCATCAGGTTATTCACACTCGAGCCGAGGTGAACCTTCACAATTTCCCCCACATATCGAAGTCAACGCGTTCATCGACGAAGGGCGACGGGACAGACCCCCTAGTCGACAGGAGCGTCCGAGGAAATCCCGCTACGCAAAGCAGAGGCGAAACCAAAACGATGATGAGAGCAGCGAAGAAGAAGACAACTTGAGAGGGGGGTTCGCTTTAGCGAAAGCGCTTGATTCCATGGCCCGGAAAACGCCTTTGATGACCTTTGATGGCAGCCGTGACACCGTCAATGGTTGGACAAGATTGGTGAAAGAAACCCAGGATACCTACCAGCTTACTGATAAGCAAATAATGATTGAAATAGCCACCGCAGTAAAAGGGCCGGCCAAAGGTTGGTTCGAAGGAGAAAAGGACATAGCATCAGAAGACGGAATTGAGTACACAGTCAAAGAATGGATGGAGAAATTCAAAGACGAGTACGGTGACCGAGACGAAGAAGTCTTAGGCTTACGAGAGGCCTATGCAAGGAAGTTCGAACTCGGAAAGGAATCACTTGACCAGTACTACCAAGCGATGATGCGATTCAAAGCAAAGAGAATCATCACTGAGAAGCAGGCAGTTGGCTTCTTAATCGAGGGATGCAAAGGAGACAATGAACTCTATAAGGCATTGCGCATACAAAAGTGTAAGACGCCGACTGATGTAAAGGACTTTTTCCGACACTGGGCAACAGGAGATGAAAAGTACAAGGCGCCAAAAGGTCAACGTAATCAGGAATACGTGACTATCCGCCAAGGCCAGGTGGAGAACGTACCGCAACAGAGAATGGCAGCTGCACCGATTCAGCAGCAAATGGAATTCCGTGCAGAAACCCCTGTAAGAGAGGTCACGGAAAGAGTGACCTTTATCGATGGCCAGACGGGGCAGCCAATAACATACGCGATGGTGGCGGCGATACAAGCGGCGGCCCAAGTGAGGCCAGCACCCCAGAATGTGGCACCACCGAACGTAGCGACACCACAACAGGGAATGCCAAATGGAAACTTTGGCGGAAATGGATATGGAAACGGAAATTGGAATGGAGGTCAAAGGAACTTCCAGAATCAGGGACAAGGTCAAGGTCAAGGCAACTTTCAGCCAAATAGAGGAAACCAGAATAACTTCCAGCAGAACCAGGGGTCACGGACGGAATTCAAGTTTCAGATGATCGATGGATGGGTTGCAAATGGTGTGCAGATGTGCCAGTATTGTATGTACGGCAACCACCAAACCCAGGGATGCAAATTCGCCAACACACCACCGGAACAGAACCCGAACCTGTTCGCCTTTAATGAGTGGCAACGATTGCGCGGCATGGGCGGTTGGCGACAGGCAGTGGCAAATGGATATGACCTGATTGCGCAATGGTATCAGGCTCGGGCAAACTTCCCAAATCAACAAGGAAACGGGAATAATGGAAATGGCGGTGGCCAGAATAGTGGCTACGGCCGTGGTGGCTTCGGTCGCGGCGGCTTCAGAGGAAGAAACAGAGGCTTCGGCCGCGGAAATTGGAATGGCGGCAACCGAGGCGGTGCAAATGGAGGCGGAAACTACCAACAGGGTGGTGGCCAAAATAATGGTGGTGGCCGGAATAATGGAGGCGGACAAAACTATGTCCCGGTAAATAACGACGGACAAGGAAATGTGCAAGGAAATGTGCAGGGCGCGCAACAAGGTGGGGCGCCGGTTCAGGGAAACGGGCAAGATCAGTAGGCACCGGTGAGCCTACTGATCGTCCCGACCCTAAACCACCGGATAAGAGGGAAAGGTCACCACTGCAGAATGGTACTGTAGTGAACGTGACCACTGCAACGGCTATAAGGATGCCGTCAGCGCAAAAAGAAAGTGGACCGGCTATATGGATGCCGCAACCACAAGAAACGGCTAGATGGATGCCGCCACAGCAAAGAGAAACGGCTATATGGATGCCGTCATCGCAAAGAGGAAATGGAACGGTTATAGGGATACCGTCACAAAGTGAAAGGTCACCGCAGAATGGCACTGCGAGTGGAAACGCGCAACGGGACCAAAGGTCACCGCAGAATGGTACTGCGAGTGGGAATTGTCGTGACGGTAGCGCGACACTGCAAAAAGTGCAGCAAAATGAAAGGTCACCGTATTGCAGCGAAGAAGTGTTAGCGCAACGACGCGCACAACGGAACGCAAAGATTAAACAGGCGCTGCTTAATCAGAAGAAACCGCAGAACGATACTGCGCAAGAAGAAAACGAGCAGCATGCGAAATTCCGAAAATTTTTGGCAGAAAACGATAAGGCGAATGAGCCAAGTTGCGATTGTTACGGGGAGCCAAAGCCAAAGTTTTGGAATTGTTCAGAAGACGAAGAAGAGAAGCTGGCAAGGCAAGAATGGATTAAGCAGAATATCACCGTTAGTAGTAAAGACGAAAGGTCACCTTCCGTTGGAAAAGTTCAAGTGAAAGGTCAAGGAGCGAATGTGAACGCCAAAGGTCACGGCGATAGCGTCGTGATAAAAGGTCAAGAAACAAACTTGACACTGCGAACAGCGCAGCAAAAGAATAATGAAACGGCACAAAACTCCGACGACTCACTTGTGGACGCAGTAACATTACAACAGAAGGAGAAGTGGCAAAAAGTGGCCTACAGACCGAATGGCAATCACGGGATGTGGATACCTGTGACGCCGAAAGCAAAGCAGAAAGCGAGAATGTCACAAGAGGACTACTGGGACATGCAACAGTTGCGAACGCAATGTGAAAGAAAGCGACTGGAAGAGTTGGTTACCGGGAAACCAGCGCAAAGGTCATCGAACCCAGTCCCAGTATTCAATCCAGAGGAATATAAGAAGACATTCGCTGACTGGAATCATTCACGTAATGCTCCACCACAGGATAAACCGCCGAATTATGGAGAAAAAGTCCCCATACAAAAGCTGACAGGTGGCGGATTTGTCATGAAGCGCAACGAAAGGTCACAGGACTTAGCGCAAAATGAACAAAAAGGACGGTCAAATGAGATAGCGCAAACGCAACAGAGTAGCGCAGTTGAAAGGTCACGGGACTTATCGGAGGCACTGCAAAAGGATGCCAATGACAAGTCACCAGCCCGAACAGACGGAATGTCTTCACAAATCGATCCGACGAAAACGAACAATGAAGTATCTGCAAAGGTGATCGAATGGATGACCGAAAAGGGATTTAATATGGTCACATATGAAAGGTCACCAGAGGAGATGAGAGATGGTGAAGAAGACGAATTGAAGCGAGCTGACCAAATAACAAGTGAAGTCATTGAGAAGCTGAGAGATAAACGAAATGAAAATCGTAAAGAGGAATTGATCCATCAGACGATAAATGAAGTGACTAAAGGTCACATGGATAGCACAAAAGCAAATGAGCAAGTGCAGAATGTGGAAAAGGTCACCGGTGTTAAAATGGCTACAGAGAAGCGAACAAATAAAGAAAAGCCGCGGAAATATTACGATGTTCGGACTAACGTTCCACATAGGATTGATAAGTTGAGCGAGATATTGAAAGGTCATAGCACTCCAGCAAAAGGACAAGTGCTTTCCGATATGGATCCGGGACCAGTATCGCTCATTCCTGTGAAATGTAAGATTCATACACTGAAGATTCAAAACGGAAAACTGCCCAAGAGAATTGAAGCGTACACACACGAAGTGAAAGTGGGAGACATAAAGGTCAACGCAATGTTGGACACCGGCGCTGAGACGTCGCTGATCAGCAAACCGTTTTGCGAGAAGAATGGACTTCACATGCTCCCATTGTCACCTGACAGATTGGTGAAAATAAACGGAATTAGCGGAACGTCAGGATTCCTGGTGACGCACTACTGTGTAGCGCCAGTGACCTTAAGGAAGAAGACAAGCGAACATTCATTTTACGTCCGACCGAAGTGTGACGACGTACAAGTGTTATTGGGATTTGACTTCTTGGAAAAGAAATTCGTATTAATGGACAATGAAGGTGAAGAAGAAAAGGAAGATGACCCGAAACCAGTTGCCAAAGTACAAGTCGGAAAGGTCACCGAACTTGCAAAACAGGAAAAGGCTCAAACTGTTAATAAAGCGCTAATCCCAGTACCAGAGGCACCGGGAAACGAAAAGGAAAAGATGACGCGAAAGGAATTGTCACCATTTGAGCAGTTGCAAATGATTCAGCAGGAGATCGAAAAGACATTAAATCGAACCTTGCTGGCACAGAAGGGAAGAGAAAAGGTCATCCCACCAGAGGCACCAGGAATGACAAAAGTGCAGCAGGAAGAAATTATCCCAGTACCAGAGGCACTGGAAACGAAAAATGAAAATGGAAAAGTCGGAAAAGTTATCCCAGTACCAGAGGCACCGGGAAAGGAAGACGAAAGGTCACCAGCAACTGAGAACTTGGACCGAGAGCGTAATTCGAACCTTTTCGAACCACGATCTGCTACCCAAAATGAAAGGCAAAAAGCAAAGAGCGAGCCCGTTAAGACGAAAGGAAAGGTCAAAACAGCCATGAAAGTTGATGCAATGGCAATGATCAATTACGCCGAACCAGATGGAGAGAGTGAATTGGACTTCACCTCAGACGAAGAATTTGATGGTCCAGATGATGATAATTTGAACACGGTCGACGAAATAATCAAAGCGTATAACGGAGCGGAGAAGAATTTCACACGAATAAGAACAGCATCGGTGACATCCAAATTTAAATCAGGCCTGAAGACGTATTTGAAGAAACAACATCGTAGCTTCACTAAACAAAAGTTCGACGTCGTATTGGAATTCGCGCGGAACGCAGGAAAACTTATACAGAAGCACCCGAGTTTCTCGTATGAGGCCAAGCTGTTCAGACCAGCCAGTTCGGATAAGGCGCTGACAACCCCGAATGAAGCGGTCCCAATGCGAGTAGAAAGGGCAATCGCGGGAATGACAAGCCCATTAGGGTCAACGAGTCACCGGATTAGCCAATACATCAACGCAGTTTGGAATGACGGAAATGGAATGATAAAGGAGATCGACACGGCAACCGAACGCGTATTGCCAAGGTTGATTAAACAGAACGTCCTTGCCACGACTAATGCACATAAAGGACACCCGATCCGATACACGAGAGTCGGTCTAATACCACCGGAAAGACAGATCCACTGTAATATGTCCGACAGTCAGGACATGGAAAAGGTCACAGTTTCATCGAAGACAAAAGGCCCAATGGATTCGGAATCGGAAAGCGACGACGACGCTACTATAACGGCTCCTTCTGGACTTACGACAGAAAAAGATGAACAGTCGAAAGGTCCGAAGACATCTGAAACTACCGCAGAAGTTCAACCGAAAGGTCATGAAGCTTCAGACAAACGGGAGAAAGAAAAGGTCATGCTCCCGATGGATAAGGCAGCGGCAGAAGCTGAAGCGGATTCGGCGCGCCAGGTGTTTCACAAATCACTGTTCATACCATTAAAGGACGTCTTTGAGAAGGAACGATCGAAGTCGGTCGGCGATCTAAAAGGTCAAGAGACTACGCCACAAGAGGAAAGGAAAACAGTTGAACCGAAATCGGCGGGGTCATCATCAGGATCACTGTCAAAGCTGAGGATCGACGAGACAGCGACGGCTGACCCAACGGACTCGACATCCTCCCAGAAAAGTAGCGGTACACCGGCAAAGGAGGCTACAGATTACATGTTAGGGCCGGCATTGGACGTGAATAATCGTACATGGAACGAAGTCCAAGCTGCACTCCAGATTATTCGGGAAAAAGAAATGCTTGGGACAGACCTGAAAAGACAAGTGGCGATAAATACGAACGGAAGGTCGTCACTTAACATGACTGAACGAGTCTTGAAACGAGCTTATAAGGAAGGAAAGTTGGGATGTAAATATAACAAGGACAACAAAGTCGTCTACTACCTTCCGAAACAGGGCACGGAACGAACGCCCAGACTGAAAATGGAACTGGAGGCCTGGAAGATAGCCATCACAGATGTAGCTCTGGACGCCATTGGCGGTACCAATGGAGCGTCATGGAATGACCTTTCAAACTTCATGGCCGTCAATTACGAATTAGGAGATTTGAATATTGAAAGCGATAAAGAGTGGATTAAGAATGCCGTCGAAGCCTTGATCGCGGACGAAGTGCTTCATATTAAGCCAGATGGCCGAATCGACTTCAAGCCGTATAAACCATCGATGAAAGAATCCGAGTGAATTAATATAGTGTAATATGCAGCGAGTAATGAACCCTGCATATTACAGAAAAAGCATAAAACAGTTTAAAACGAAAGCGAAAAGTGTTACGAAAGGTCAACTGAAAGCAGTACTAGGACTAATAGAAAAGGTCACAGTAGTCAGAAAGTGCTGATAACGTGAGAAAGGTCACCACGTTACAGTGATAGAAAAGGCAGCAGGAGCTAGGAAAGTCTCAGTTCAGTAACGGAATAGGCGTAAAAATGATAGAAAAGCCTTGATATGGATAGGAAATGGAAGGATTAACGTGGAAAAGTTAATATGACGGATTGTTTTATAATTACAGATTGAAGCGGAAAAATGGCACAGAAAGGTCAAGCCACTCCTAAACGTACGGGAACGGCGGCAGACATCGATCGGTTTACGGGCTACAATCCAAAGTGTCCGGACTGTCTACGTAATAACAAAAAGGTTGATAAGAAATTTCCGTGCTACGCATGCATTCACAAGCTGGATGACCCACATATTGTCTCACTTGTTGGAGTCTCGGAAGCCAAACGCGGGAACCTGGATGTCTTCCGCAATCTGATAAGCGCAAGGAATTACGGCAGCATCCCAGTGGAAGAGCGAATGCTACTCGAGGATCGCTACCGGGAAGCGATCCGGAACAACGAACCTGGCTGGGATGACACCTTGGAGCCGTTGAAGTGTCCACATACAGACGCGTATCGGAAGAAATTCGAAGAGGACCAGGAGAAGATGCGAGTTCAGCAAATGGAAGACGAACTCCGCGCGAAAATTAATGCGGAAAATAAGAGGGCAAGCGAACAGGCCGCACGAGAGGCGCTGTCCAGTACGTCGGGTTTAGCTGCACCCACGGGCATGGCCAGCCTTAATGAAGACGAAATGCAACTCGTACGGCAGTCGCTCATCATTCAAATTGAAACGTTAACGAAGGATCCAGCTGCTATGTCAGACGAGATATTCAAAATGCTGTTGCGGGAGAAGAAACGATTGCAAGACGGGTTCGCGCCGGCACCATACATAAAGAAGGAAGTCGAAAGACGTATGGATGACCTACGTAAATCTCGCCGAACCGAAAGCGATGTGCTGCAAGCACTCAGAAGCTTCAAACGGGATGAAGGCTTCATACGACCACGGTCGCCTCCGCATAGAGAAAGGTCACGCGGACATTCACGTGAACATGAACGGACTTCTGAAAGACGGAGTGAAAGGTCACGTGAACACTCTCGTGAAAGGACACGTGAGTACCGTACTGAAAGGTCACGCGAACGCTCCCGCGACCGAGATTACCGTGGCGGAAGAGGATGGGTGCGCCACGGAGATGAAATAACTGAAATGACCATACAGCGGAAGATTGATACAGCCAAGATTCTGGCAGCGACAAGGGAACGAGAAGAAAAACGGCGTGCGGAGACATTCCGTACAGAACCTGAAAAGGAAGGGCATCAGGTGCCGATGGGAGTCGCATTCCGGAATCGCAATGTCAGAATGTCAACACCTGAAAGGTCATGGGACAAAAGACGCGAACAAACGCGGAACCGAACACCCGACCCACAGGATAAAAGATGGCAACAGAGAGCTGCATTCTACGCGACCTTTGACTCGGGCGCAAATAAAAGGTCATCAAGCACTGAACGGGAAGATTCACCCCCAAAGTATCAGCGGGTAGAGTCAATGGTTCATGTAGTGGATCCAATTGTGAGCGTCGTACAAGAAGACGATGCGATGGAAGGGACTAGCTCGATTGCGGAAACGTCTCAAGAGAACGTGACCCATCGACGAAATGTAATTCTGGATAGTGACCTTCAACCGGAACAACCGGCGAGTAACGAACCGTCGCAGCCTGAGTCAGGAGAGCGACGGGAACCAGAAGGTCAACGAGAACCGGATAATCATCGCCGGGCTGATCAGCGACAGAACTCCAGATTCGATAACCGACAACCGGATACCATCGACATGGAATATAATACGACTGATATTGATGAACAAACGGTCGAAATTTGTCGATACTTTGGACTTGAGCCGGATTCGGTTGAAGCCAACAAAATTGGCACAATTTTGAGACAGCTGAGCCAATTCTTACTTGATTCAGGATATGCGAGAGAAATCAAACAGGGAGTGGAACAAGGAACTTTCCGCCGGTTATTCATCCACCGCGACTCGGTACGGGACTGTTATCTCCCTATTCGACGGAATGGACTACATAGTTTGGTGGATTTGAGTTTGTTGGATGTACCGCTGGACACAACTGACCCAATCGGGATGACACAATTTTATTACACAGATTATCCCGAACGCCAAGAATACGTGGCTCAGTTTGTTCTACGACATGTGAACCCAGCTTTCAAGTTGCTTGCAGCAAGGGCGTCGATAGGACTACAGGTGGATCCTAAGGACTATGCCGCAAAAAGGATGGGGCAAAAGGTCTTTGCTGCGAGACTGGCACATTATAAGACACAAAATCAATTGGTGTCTAATACCATGAAAGACGACATTCCACCGTTCTTCCGAGCTCATGTCGCTAAATTGGGACAACCGATGGAACATATCAGCATAGCGCATACGGCTCGCAAGGCGCTGAAAAAGTGCAAGACACGAATGGAAAAGGGCAACTTGATACAGCGCCATGCCTCCCAAGTTGAAGAAAGGGTCAACAAGATCAAAGATTCCCTGGGAAGTGACTACGTCGAACCAGTAGACGGAGTTGAAACGTACATCGACGATTTCCTGGTGAAGAAAAGCGACCGACGCCCGGAACGCGCGCCTAACCAGATGGGACGACGCGGCATCCGAAACCAACAGCTGCGGGATAATCTTGCCGACGTGCAGCGTCGATTGGCGGAAGACCCTGATAACCGCAGACTGCGACTCGAAGAGAATGACGCACGCCATCGACTTGAGGCGGTTAAGCGAAGTCGCCAAGGTAAAGGTCGTGGCCAGCGCGAAGTTGACCCGACAAAGGTCATGGGAGTTGACTCGACGGAACCAGTTGACCGAACTTCCGACCGAAACCAACCGGAAAGCGCTAAGAAACGCCCGCCGAGAGATGACGAGGGCGATTCAAATGAAATGGAATAGTGTTGACCTTTATGATCACACTATTAAAAGGACGTCTACGGCATTTGTCGGTACGTCACAAAGATGAAAATGGTGTTGTATAAAGGACGTGACACGTGACATGTTAACATAAACTGTATTTGTGTATTTGTTGTTTGCAGCGTTTATAGCACAGAATTGCCTAAAAGAAATCATGTGGAGTATCTATTGGGGTTGAAATTGATTCGGTCTATAAAGCCGGCCCCAAGGGAGTAGTTACGGCAGTTAGCCGGCTCTCCTCTCTAAGCGACTCAGTGTTATAAATGCACAAGAGAAACAACGGTAATCAAGCCGGATCTCTTGAATACGAAACGGGGCCACAAGCGGCGAAAAAGAGAAAGACAACAGGTGGAATATTGATGAGGTTAACTTAATGCGGCAACCAGCCGGCCTCATTAGAGTTGTTACGGTAAACTGCGCCGGCACTCTTTTCAGGCGATTCAGTGTTAGAATTAAAACGAGAAAAACTACGGTAACCAAGCCGGATTTCTCGTAGTAATGTTAGCCACAAGCGGCGAACAAGAGTAAAAGACTTAAGGTGGAAATTTCATGGGGTAAACTCAATGCGGTAACTAGCCGGCCCCATCAGAGATGCTACGGTAAACTTGCCGGCACTCTGGCCGCTCGAGGCATGTTGAAGTTGGATGTGCGACGCAAAGGTCAAATCAAGTCTTTACCAGGGAGGCAAGCAAAGAAGTGCTTGGAGCCGCAGAAAATCGGCTAAGTTCCTCCATGACCTTTAAAGGAAATTTGCAGAGTGGGATGACCTTTGGGACCATTAACCCAAATTGAGTCGCACATCTCAACGGATCATCTTAACAAAGGATGACCTTTACCAGGGAGGAAGCAAATCATGCTTGTCTTAAAGACGTCCCTCCATGACCTTTATGGATCTCATTTTGAAGTCGTACAATCGATACGCACTATATTCCAAAGATGAAGCAGTATTCCTAAGTCGTACTTGATACGCACCCGATTCTCAAAGCGGATTGTGATGGAAGTCGCATTATGGATGCGCGAAGTTGCTCAACGGAGCGGAATGGATTAAAGTGCGGAAAACGGTGGACAGGACCTGTGACCTTTGCGAGTCAGAAATGGAGGATCCTAGTCTACAATTTGATTAATACTTTTGTTGATCTGTTACTGTTGATCTGTTTTTGTATTAAAATTGATATGGAATAGTATTTTGATACAGATCTCTTTATTTTCACATAGTGCATTTGGAATTGATGTGATAAATGGAATAAGAGAATTTGATGTTTTTGAGCACGCACAGACACCGGCAACCGTCTTTTCGTGGATTCGGGAGTGTGTCCAGCCTCAACGGAGCTCGGCATCCCCCCAGAGGCATGTGAGACGAGGCTCACTAGCGTTCACGCCCGTGGCGCTAGGCGCTACGCCTTCGGATTACGGTCTGTGACGTGTCTCGCTTTGATTGGCTTGAGTTGTGTTAGTGGGCGCGGCATAGCACGTGCTGCACAGTGTTACACACTGTTGAATGGGCTCCACGCTTTACGATCGAGCTGCGCCGATCATTATTGATTTTTCTGTTCTCCAGACTTTTCAATATTAAAAAGTCAGCGATTTACGGTGCGACGTTTGTGTTTCCGCATAGCTCGCGATCCATATCGTATCGCTCGCTTCTACGGGATAGATTCCGTTTCTGTCTCCGTCTGTGGATCTATTCTGGATCTACCATTAGAGGTGCCTGAAAACACTGGTATTGTCGCGGTGTGATTTCAGCGATTTCGACTGCTATCTGCACGCGCACTTGGACTGCATGAATGCGGAATTGTCGGCGCTGGCCGCGACGTGCAGTGCGGTGGTGTGGCGAGATTGTGACATGTCACTCTCGCAGACCAGCGCACACGTCGCCTATGCGAAATTCTGTTTGCGGGATGCGCCCGCGCAGCGGTTGACGCAGTTGTGGGATGTCTATGAAATGTCACTGGTGTCGCGTGCGAAAGTAGATGTGGCGAAGCTGGCTGAATGGGTGACCAATGGTGTTAACACGCAAAGCATTGCAGCCTGCAGCGGCATCTTATGGGTGAGTACATGTAAGTTGTAAGTGTATGCAAGATACAGCCGCATTGCGCCAGGAGGTAGTAATTAAGAGAAGTGCTATTAAGAGGTTTGACTTGGCGTGCTGTGCTTGTACTACACTTACAGTGATCTTGTGCCAGTGTGAGGCTGGTGTTTAAATCACTTGGCGGCATTTATAATCATGCGATTATCGAGTATTTTCCGTAATCGTACCGTGACGTGAGCGTACGGTTTTATGTTAAACTGGTGACTAGAAGGAGAAATGCGTTTACGTGATATTGCTAAAAACGATTACAATCTCAAGTTAAAAAGTAACGTTTCGACATAAAGTGCTTTATTGTTATTCTTAGGCTTTGAACGAGTATATTGGTGCTGATCCTCGTACGGTGCAGCACGGTGCATTTAACAAATGGACGCTGGATACTCTGGTCAATTTGGATGTGTTTACACTGTCAAAAGTGGCGCAGTTTGCCTTTTACCACTATGTCTATCCCTGGCCCGCAGACGACAGCTGAAGATTATAGTCTCCTGTTACGACCTTTTAAAGATGTTTTGTTTGGTGGATTCTAATCAGTACTGGAGTTTGACAGCAAACTGCAACATCGCACTAATTGTATAATATCTGGCCTGCATTGCAGTGTTTATTCTGGACGATTTGCACGTGAGCAGGCAGCACTTTAGTTTACTAAGTAAGGCCCGTATTGGGTGTAACCATTTGAGTTTTTTTCAGTTCTGATAATTACCTACGTGTCAACGCTTTCGTATAGATTTATGTGCAGTATAAGATACGGCTTGCCGCTTCTGTTGTTATGATAGCGGGAAAAAAATGAAGAGTAACCAGCGGCATCGCTTTCTTGTGGTCTACGTAGACGGTTGCTACTCCAAATTTAACAAACCAGCACCTGACTGCATCGCGAATACGAACTATGAATGGTGCTACATCGTCATTCGGGCGCATGGCTAAGCACTTCGCCTGCACAAAATTTGCGTACTTTCTGGTGGGATTAAAAAGTGCGAATCGGCGCTGCACTTCGGTTCGGTCTTCCAACCTTCCAACCCGATCGTGTGAACTGCGAAAGCCATGGGGAAATGAATGGTCAGCAGGGTTTATCTTGTTCCAGCAGCAGATTATATTTGTAGTTGGTCCAGACATGCCAACTTACAGGCTTGTGCTACGAAAACGATAAATGCAGTCGCAGCTATGTTCGGCTGATTCCGTAGTGTTGCACCTTTGGCCAGAGATAGTAAGCACCGCAAACATGCCTTTGCTTAAGCAATGGGCTGCCCGTTTCATCTCCGGGCAGTCAAGACAACTGATTTACTTGGTTCGGCTTTCGGGAAGCTTATTCGTTTCGTTGGCAGAAAGATTCGCGACGTAGCAGGGAACCTCGCTTTGTTGCACTTCTGAAGCAATAATTCTGAAGACTTTAGTTTTGCTTGTCAGGGGAAATGTTGCTTGCTGTTTTGGTCATTATGCAATAATTGGCGTCTTGAAGACAGAAGTGCCGGAAGATGTTTGTCAATTTTGGTATGTTATTTCGCAGTCTGTCGATGCTGTCTACCGCCTGCGAGCGGTGTTGTGATTATGATTTATCGAGAACGCTGTGCTTTGCGATGCAGCGCCACAAAATGATCTGCATTGAGCATTCGCTCTGACTTTTGCTTGGACAAGTTCATCGATAATTCGGTCCAGTTGTTAGCTGCTGGAGATTTAGTCTGAGGACTGAGTGTGCTTATATTTTCCTGCAACATGCATATTTTTGCTGGCAGGGATCACAGCGCCGCTAACGTGGTGTACGACATGTACCAGTGAAATGGTATGGATGTGCTGATCAACGGAGCGCTGCAACACGGCGTCGTCATCGGTCTGGCCACTATGGGCAACGGCTCGCAGGGCGTGCTGGTCGACTTCGACTGTCCGCAGCGTCATTGTGAGTTTGTCGAATACGGGAACATCTTCAGCGGCTCGAACGGGTCGCCCGAGTCCTGGAAGCACTGGAAGAATCCGGCGTGGGTGGAGAGCCATCCTCTGCAGGCTCTGCTGCGTATCGGACGGGATCGGGCGTGGACGTGGTGGCCTGTCAAATTAGCATTCCCCGAGGACCCCCAGTTGGGGCAACCGTCGTGCGGCGATGCCGAGTGTGGACTGGTGGAGGTGCAGTGGGGCGATGCGGTAACGAAGGAACTAATCCCGTTCCGTCAGATCCGTGGGGTGCCTTCGCCTCAAGATCTGCAGGGGCGGCGCGTGGGACCAGATCATTTTGTCAGCCGCGAATGTCGTCTGCCGAAGGGATACTGGTGGGCGTCCTCGGGGGCAACGCGGCTGCTGTGGCAGAAGCTCAGCGGCCAATGCAGTGCCTGCTGCATCGCCGTGCGCACTGAGTGCTTCGCGTACTTTCAACGGAGCGACCGACAGCCTATTCCACCCGTCGACTTGGTAACAATAATGCAGAATATCACAGCAGATTATAGATAGCTTAATCTCGTTCTTGGACTCCGTTATTCTTGGCAAAACTAATTGTGATACCAATATCCACAGAAAAATAATTACTGAATTAATTTCGCACGTGACAATATACAAGCCGCAACACCTGTTCAGTACTTCGTATAATTTCAATACGAGTACTTCCTTTTTGATCCGTGGAGTCAGTGCCTACATTAACAGCTGTTTATTCTTAGGACTGGACTTTAGACTATATTGTACGGCACCAGTCTGGCGACCGCAGTGATAACGAAGAACGCCGAGAAAGCTCATGGGACCGCTTCGTTCCCCCTGTGAGAAAAGTCAGAGCTCCGCCCACCGACGAGCATCGAACGAGTCTCGGCATCCCGCTACCACGCGAAGTATTAGCGGAGATCTTCCAGTCACTGGACAGCATCGAGCGCGTTCGCAAGCGGCGCGTCTGCGGCCTTTGGGATGCGATGCTGGAGCCGAATGCAATCGGCAAGCACCTGTGGATCTCCTGTCGGCATCCTTTCCATCAGCACCGTCGGTTGGAGGCGGAGCAGTTTGTCCTGGCTGTCTGCATGCTCAAGTGCGCCATTCCCGCCACGGACACGATCATACTGGAGGATTCCAAGGAGTTAGCCTACTTTTCGCGGGACGTGTTTGGATTATTAAGCGATCTCTTGCAAGATCAGCGCATTACGACGCTGGTCCTGTCGCGGTGTGTTTTCAGCGATAATGATTTTGAATATGAGGATTACATGGAGAAGGATTACTTGGACTGGATCAATGATCGCCTGTCCGCGATGGCCGCAAGCTGCAGTGTGGTGGTGTGGCGCGACTGTCCGCTGACGATGCTGACAGACAGCGTGCAGGTGACCTTTGTGAAGTTCCGTCTGCTGGATGCCCCCGCACAGCGATTGACGCAGTTGTGGGATGCCTATGAAAGGTCACTGGTGTCCAGGGAGTGGGTTGGTGTGCCGCGGCTTGCCGAGTGAATGCTCGGCTGCATCACTGAGGCGCCCGTTGGCATCCTTTGGGTAATACGATGGATTATCTCGGCAATTTGGTGTTTTTTTTTAATAATTTCTGTATGTGCCACGCTTCCAGACTATCACGTCAACTGCTTCACTTGCCAGTTGAAATTATAGAATTTGTTTGGCATTTCTGATTACTGCTGCGAACTGTTTCGGGTTCACGATATTTGCGGTGATTACTGTCAGTCACCAGATAGCGTTAGGCTACTAATGGTTTATGGTGGTGAATGACCTTTACTGAATAGCTAACTCAGACACGACGCCAACCCAGTCGCTCTGCTAACGTTGAACTTTATGTAAACTCATTCAAGCTAACACTGCAACAACATCAAGGCTAAGAAGACATTCTAGAGAACGCTTTCTAAGACCAGAGATTCCAGAGCTGCTAGCCATTCAAGATGGCATTAATTTGTTCTCAAGGAGTTCTTCTCCCTCTAGCGCTCAGCAGTGATTTCTGATGCAGAAATAGGAAAGATGAGAGAACACGCCTTCAACTCAAAAGGACTCATAGACAAACCATGAGTCAACATTTTATTGATTGTTTATGAGAGATCAAAGTACACAGTTCACATATTTTGTATTACTAATTGGCTGATAGTTTCTGGCCACTTCCTTCCGTTGCAAACTATATCACAGTATGACTGTCCATACAGAATGTACTTCTACCAGTCGTACTCGTGACATTGCTAATCATAATTATTTCCTTATAATATTTTTCTAACAACTGCAGCAGGCTTCGCTTGTGACATCGGAATACAGCAAAAAATTGTTCCACTGTGTAGCTTAGTAGCTACGATTTTCTGTACCGACTGTACGTATCCAACTCGCATTATCCCGCTGTTTGTCATTTAATCGCAGGATTATGCCGAAATAGAAGTCAGGCTGCTCCCAGGCGGCAGGCAGTCAGTTATACAGGCCCGCGCTCAAGCTCTGACTCAGACTCTGACCGCTCAAACTCTGACTCTGACTACTCAAAGTCTGACTCTGACTGTCCAAACTCTGACTCTGACTCTGACTGAATAACTTAAGAATAACTTAAGAAACCTAAGAAACCTAAGAAACCTTCAGAGTCAGAGTCAGACTTTGAGCGGTCAGAGTCAGACTTTGAGTAGTCAGAGTCAGAGTTTGAGTGGTCAGAATCAGAGTCAGAGTCAGAGTTGGAGTCTAGGCCAGTTATACACACAGAATCACACTCAAATACGCGCATGGCGTACAGGACAGTCGGTGACAACTCCGAGTTTTTTACAATAATTTAAATTTTATTATGAAATTCGTGTTCCTCGTTCGATCAGCCCCTTGTCAGCTGTGTCTGTTTCTAACAATAAAACATGCACTTGTTCGCGGGCCGCTGTAAGAGTGGCGAAGTGTGCTGCATGTACCAGTGGAACAACGTGGATGTACTGATCAACGGGACGCTGCAGCACGGCGTCGTCGTTGGAATATCTGCCGTATCTGCGGACGGGCAGAAGCAGGGCCTGCTGATCGACTTCAACTATCCGCAGCGCCACTCTGAATTTGTCGAGTACGGTAGCATCTTCAGCTGCCTGTACTTCGCCGCCGAGCCGCCGTGGGATGCGTGGAAGGACCCTACATGGGCGGAGACCCATCCGCTGCAAGCTTTGCTGCGTGCTGTTGGTGATCGTGCGTGGACGTGGTGCCCAGTCAGACTAGCCTTGCCCGAAGATGCCGAGATGCGCAGGGCTTATTGCAGCGAAATCGATTGTGGATTGGTGGAGGTGGAATGGGGCGGTGCGTTAACGAAGGAATTAATTCCGTTCCATCAGATCCGCGGGGTACCCTCGCCTGAAGATCTGCAGGGGCGTCGCGTGGGACCGGAGTGTTTTGTCAGCCGTGAATGCCGCCTGCCCCGAGGATACTGGGCAGTGCCACAGGAGGCGACGCGACTGCTTTGGCAGAGGCTCAGTTATGAATTAAGTGCCTGCTGCATCGCGGTTCGCAGTGATAGTTTCACGTATTTCCAGCGAAGCGATGGACGTCCTATCGTACTGAGCAATCTGGTACGTCTTTACGGCGTCCTCGCCTCTGGGCTCTACTGCAGTAATGTCCGTTCGCCGATATGTAAGGTTTTTCTACCGGAGAAATTTTTTTAACAATTATTAATACAGTATGATGGGCACTAAGGGAGAGGTAAAACCAGGGCGCTATCCACTGGAAACCGAGATACGGCTGAAAACGGCACCGATGGGGAATCGAACCCCGGCTGCGTCGGTAGATCCGCGTAGGCAGTACCGCTTGCACCACGGCGCAATACGCTGAAATCTTTTGAAAGACTGTATCGCTGTACGTGACCCGCTTCTCTCCTCACAAGGTGCTAGTTGTTCCGAGTCTCCGAAAATTTTTTGTACCCGCAGTTTTTTACGCTGTGGGGTTGGTTCGATTTGATTGAGTTATTCGGGAATTGTGAATACCCCAGCCCGTAAACGGGCACGGGTTGGGAGCTACAGCCAGTGTAGTACTTATTCTGACAGTTTCGAATGCTTACAGTAATTCTTGATTTCTTGATATGTAGCCAATGGTACGTAATAGAACGATCATACGTGTCACGCATGGCTTTTGATTTGAAGGAGCAGAGGTTGGAGAACATCACTCAGATGATGCAGTACGAGAATAACAACCGTGGCCAGCGTGACGGGAGCCCCGAGGATGAATTGATTTGCGGTCGCTTCGTTCCCCGTTTAAGAAAGGTGAAAGTGCCGGCCGCCGATCACCATCAACGGGGCCGCGGCATCCCCTTACCGCGCGAAATCCTGACGGAAATCTTCCAGTCGTTAGACACCATCGAGCGGGTCCGCAAGCGTCGCGTCTGCCGCCTGTGGGAGGCGATGCTGGATCCGAATGCGATCGGCAAGCATCTGTGGATCTCCTGCCGACAGCCCTTGAATAACCGTCACGAAGAGCGTTCGGAGCGGTTCTTGCTGGCTGCGTGCCTGCTCAAGTACGCCACTTCCGCCACGGACACCGTCATACTGGAGGAGCCGTTGGCGTTGTCTCAATGGAAGCGAGATGGGTTTGGATTGTTAGCTATCTTGTCGCAGCAGCGGCGCATTCGGACGCTGGTCTTCACCCGTTGTGAGTTCAGTGATTGTGATGTACATCTGTGCGATTATCTGGGTTATCTGAATGGCAAACTGTCCAGCCTGGAAGCGACGTGCAGTGTGGTGGTGTTTCGAGATTGTGAGATGTCGTTCACGCAGACCAGCGCTCAAATGAACGCTAAATTATGTCTGCGTGATACCGCCGCACAGCGCTTGACGCAGTTGTGGGATGCCTATGAAAGGTCACTCGTGTCGTGGGAGAATGTGGATTTGGCGAAGCTCGCCGCGTGGGTGGAGCGTTGTGTCAGCACGCAGAAGATCGACAAGTGCGAGGGAATATTATGGGTGTGTAAGCATTCTGCAACAAAATGATTATGCGTAGACTTTGTTGTTTTTGGTGTTTTTTAGGTTTTAAATGAGTATATTGGTGCTGATCCACGGACGGCGCTGCGCACAGCTGACCAAGAGTGGACGATGGCTAACCTGATCGATTTGGATGTGCTCAAGCTGACGAAGCTGGAACAGTACGCTTTGTTCGGCCGAATTGGCGATACCATGGAGAAAGATAACCAAGGGGGTTATATTTTCTATGGGACTAAAGGATACTGGAAGATCTTACAGTGTTTGCGATTATATACAAGTGCTACGCATGCGACTGGTGCTGATTGCGAGATGACTGCACACAACAACGGTACTGCAGTAATGATTCTAGCGCATCGCGTATGCAGTTTGGTTTATCAAATATTCCGCGCTGTTTTATGTATGAGTCGCTGCCATTGGTCCCACGATTTCGACTGTGCTAATTTAAGGGGAACAGGCAGCGGTTTTGTAAACCGACTCCTCTGGCACTAGATGCTTAGTTTTATTATTTTATTAATATGCACATTTAGGTTGTATTATGAAAATTCAAAAATTGGAACTGAAAAAGGTTATTCTGTAGTGTTACTGTATCTACACTCGTGCTACCAAACGAAAATAGTTTTTGCTTCGGCTAGTTTTTGAAACAACTAGCCGAACAAAGCATTCGCAAAATACGGCTGTGTTGTTGTCTTTTTAGTCATGAGTTTCGAGAACGTATTCATTGTATTGCCAGTTTAAGATGGCTCAGGATCCAACCGTTTGTGTTATTTTGCAGCATTTGCGAGTAAAATTCTGTAATTATGCTGGGAAATATCCACTGTCCAGTATGTGTCGTAATGTTTAACAAACTAACATTAATATTACGTACAAATGCTGTTAACAAAGATTTATCAATTTGTAACAACTTAATGTGTAATCTGTTGTCGGGATTTAATGTGTTGCAAGAATGAACAAAAGATGTCGTAAATTGTTGAGTGCTGCATGAGTAATGAGAAACTTTCTTTACAACGGCATCCATCCTGGGAACGACACCAGCCTCGGCTAATTTAGATCAAATGTTCTCTGTGATTCGGCCGCATGTTTCCGCTGTCTTTTGATGCTGTGTGACGTTTGTGTGTGCTCTGGATGTTTAAACTGGCTCAGCAAAGTGAAAAACAATTAAAAATTATTCCCCGTAATTAAAAAAAAGTACTTACTGTCCTTATCGTTAACACAGTATTAGTGGATTACCGTGGATTACCCCAATAATAATGTTTCAGTAAACGCAACAATGTACACCGTAAAAAGTACATTGGCATCACGCAGTTAATCACTTCGGTACTACCGTGTATAGCGGAAAGCGTAAGAAAATCCTCATCCTTTAGCTATCACATAAGTACAGTAAGTAAGCAAGGTTCTGCCACACTGACCTTTTTAAACCGTTACCGAACACTATAACATCGGAAGAGCTACTCTATATCTCAATCTGTTACAATGAAACTTGTGGGAACTGTAGAATGGAAACTGTGGAAAGATGTCTACCTGGAAGTACTGGAACATCCCGCCCCCACCTCCCTTCCCCGTCTGTAACTCTGAAGAGTCCGCTGTGGTGTACCCGATCGACGTAGAAGAGAAGAATCCGAAATCCCATAGCGTGTCTCCGGAGGTGGAAGTAGAGGCAAATAGCAAGATTTAATGAGAGCACTGCTCCAAACAATATGACCTTTGATCACAAGTATTTAGAGTGAACCGCAGGTACCTGTAAACCACTTTACAGCAGTCCGAGAACAAGTGCGAATAAATAACGGTGGTTTACAGAAAAATTTGTGAGAAAACCGAATTGATTTGCCAGATCTCGAAGGTCTTTCGACTGACACATTCCGCTGGCCTTATACAGACTTCGGGATGCGTGTAGGCATCGATTATCCGTAAAACCAAAGACATACAAGCTGGCCATTGGTTACAACAGCCGAGACACAGCAACATTGGTCAAACGTAAAGTAAGGCATCAACCGCAACTCAATAAGCCAGACCAGTATAAACATGTTTTATTTGTATATACATTTTATATGAAAAAGCCACAAAAGTACTCCCTAAGATGTGTACAAGGCGGCGGCGTTCGTGGGGCCGGTGGGGGTGTAGCGGCAATTACAGGGATAGTACGTTCGTACCTCCCCGGTACACGTCACCCCACGAACCCCACGTCACACCGCTTAGTTCCCGTAAACAGAAAATGTGGACCCGGCCACAAAGAAATTTGGCACAGCCAAACCGTTCCATCCATATTGCGACACCCCATACGGCACTATCCTCCGGGATCCGGTGCCCAGTAGTCGTAACTTTCCGCCAGTCTCTGATTATGACTTTGTTGAATCCTTGGCGCTCGACTGGCCATCCGGAATCCACGGGGAAGTGGCATGGAGGAAGGCAGGACGCGTCCAAAGATATCCAGGATGGGAAAAAGTAGAAAAGAAAACTAATTAGTGCAGATTCCGAAGTTTTTAACGCAGTGCATTCTCATTATTAGATTGTTCTTGCTAGGATCAGCGTGAGACACTGTACTACGATAATTCGGCAAAAGTTATCATTTCACCAGCATTTCCACGTTGAATTTCGATGCTGAACCTCTGGCGCAGATACTCCGTTGCGCGTATCTCGCCCGTTTCCTGCCATATCATCCTGCCTACTTCGCTGAGCAGCCGGGAGGCTTCCGGTCCGAGTGGTCCCACTGTCTCCACACCCACCGCACGGAACAGGTAGTCTTGGGCGATGTTCTGGTACTTCACGGCTTTTTTCCGTTCGGCCTGTGCAGCTGCTGCGCCAGCTTGGGTGGATGTTGCTGCAACATGTGAAAGGGCCATCGTACACACACAAGTTACATCCCATGTTAACATTTTGCCTCGTTCCCATGGCACTAAGGTGACTCCGTCCGGGCGTATGCCGTTGATTCGCGATATTCCCAGGGGCTCGAGTTCTGTCTCAATGGTGGCTGAGGCGAATGCTCGTTTAAGTACTTGTACAGTGTACTGTAAGGACTTTCTTCTGTATTTTGTCCATCCGCACCCAGGCGGCAGCCACTGCCAGCAGTAGCAAGAGCAGAGCTCGCAAAGCACTTGTCCACGATTCTTGATTTTATTTTCAAAATATTTTATTTTGCAGTGTTTTGCATCTCCTTTCTTTGATCAGCCTTCGTTATACGATAATTAAGTCACTTGATACTTGATAGTGGAATTTTTTCTCTCTGAATGTACTGGTCCTTTTCTGAACCATGCATTTGTTTGCGGACAGCTGCGAGAGTGGCGAAGCGTACGACATGTGGCAGTGGAACAGCGTGGATGTGCTGATCAACGGGACGCTGCAGCACGGCGTCGTCGTTGGAATATCTGCAGCGTCTGCGGACGGGCAGAAGAAGGGCTTGATGATCGGCTTCCACAGTCCGCAGGGCCGTTCGCAGTTTGTCGAATACGGCAACATCATCCGCTGTCTGGATGTTGCGGAAAGCCGCTGGGATCGCGTAAAGCAGGTGACTGCGTGGGCGGAGACCCGTGCGCTGCAAGCACTGCTGCGTGTCGGTCGAGATCGCGCGTGGACCTGGTGGCCCGTCCAGCTAGCCGTGCCCCAGGACGACAACATGCGCCGAGCGTGTTGCAACGAAATCGAATGTGGCCTGGTGGAGGTGCAGTGGGGCGATGCGTTGACGAAGGAGCTGATTCCTCTTCGCCAGATTCGGTGTGTTCCTTCACTGAAAGATCTACAAGTGCGCCGCGTGGGACCGGAGTGTTTTGTCAGCCGCGAATGCCGTCTGCCCCGCAAATACTGGTCGGCGCCTCCGGGGGCCACGAAACGGTTGTGGCAGAAGCTCAGTCGCGAGTTCGTGCCTGCTGCACTGCCGTTCGCAATGACAGTTTCACGTACTTTCAGCGCCACGATGGGGATCCAATTCTATTCAACAGACTGGTAAATGGTGTCTGTGATGTACAGTTTTAGGCCTGTGTTGACAGCTTTTCGATTTGAAGGAAAGCACTTTTAATTCAATTATGAGGGACGAGTCTACTCGATACAACACCGACCGTGGTCAGGGCGCAGGCAGCCAAGAAGGGGAGTGGGATGGACGTCGCTACGCTCCCGCTTTGAGAAGAGTCAATGCTCCGCCCTTCGACGAGCATGCAGCGGGACGCGGGATTCCCCTAGCCAGGGAACTTTTGGCGGAGATCTTCCAGGCGCTGGACACCGTCGAGCGAGTGCGGAAGCGGCGCGTCTGCCGCCTGTGGGATCTTCTGTTAGCTGCGGGTAGGGCTGAAATCAGAATCCAGCGTTTTACTTTTATTCAATTGCGTTTACAATTCAACCTTCGAATTAAATAATGTCACAATCGAACCGGAGTTAGAGCGTATCAAACATTTTCAAACGAATAATATCTTCATTCAGAATTAGTATCATCATTCCATCATCATATCATCATTCGAATAATTCTTTGGTGGAGAAGTTGATCAAATTAAATACCGATCTGTTAAAAAACAATGGAATAATGGTGGAAATTGGCAAATAAGGTTATCTTAGTAACTGCAAATGCGGACCTGCGTTGACACACTCGCGGCCTCCTATATTGATCGCACCTCCGTGAATGCTGGAGCTGCAGCGGAGCAAGCCGAAAGGGGAAAGTTATCGAAGCACAGCTGGCTGATGCCACGATACGATTTCGTTGCGGCGGCGTTCGAGATTCACGGACCGTGGAGCGGTGGCACTAGGAAACTTGTGGACAAGGTTGGAAGCTGCCTAATATCTGCCACTGGCCAGAAACGCACCAAAGAGTTTTTTCGGCAGCGTTTGTCTATACAGATACAGCGCGGGAATGCGATATGCGTTATGGGCACGATTCCCGAGCAGGACAGTATAGAAGAATTTTTCTTGTTGTGATTGGGGTGTATCTGCCGCGGATGATTGTTTCATTGTTTTCCGTTGTAAAGCTAAATAAATTGTATACATTGTTCATTTGGTGGACTTTGGTCAACCGGTAACTGCAAATAGTTTCTTGTAATTCCTTTCTTTACGACAGGACCAATACTGGGAAAACTGGTTTCAGAATTTGATATTTTTTTAATTTCTGCTAAAATATTTTGCCAGAACGGCGCATAAGTGCTTGAATTTCAACCGTAGATGCTGCCAAGCAGCTGTGGATCCCCTGCCGGCGTTTCGCCCATAAAACACGCAGTAAGACGCCAGAGCAGTTTCTGCTGGCTTGCTGCCTACTCAAATACGCCACTTCCGCCACGGACACCATCATTTTGGAGGATTCGTCCGAGTTATCCTACATGTCGCACGACGTGTACGGACTGGTGGCGACCCTACTGCAGCAGCGGTGCATTAAGCTACTGCTCTTGTCCCGCCATGATTTCGACGATCACGACTGCGACCTGCATGACTACCTGGACTGTATCAATGATCAGCTGACGCGGTTTGCCGCCACCTGCCAAGTCGTCGTGTGGCGCGAGTGCCGGCTGTCGCTGGTGCAGGTCAGCGGAAAAGTGGCTTATGCCAAATTCTCTCTGCGGGATGCATCCGCGCAACGGCTGACGCAGTTGTGGGATGTACTGGAAAGGTCACTGGTGGAGAAGGAGGTGGTCGATCTGTCAAAGCTCACCGAGTGGATTGCACGTTGTGTTAGCACACGGAATCGAGAATGTGCGGGCATACTATGGGTATGCGCTTATGCAGGCAGGAATTGTGTTCTGCAAGGAAGTGATTTTCACTACCGCCGCTGTTTTGCGTTGCGTGTAGGTTCTAAATGAGTTTATTGGCGCGGATCCACGGACTCCACAGCAGGGTGCTTACCGAGAGTGGACGGTGGAGAGTCTGGCCCGTTTGGATGTGTATCAGCTGCCGAAGGTGGCCCAGTTTGTGCTGCATTGCCGAGTTGACGATAGTTAGTTGTCAGCAGACTACAGTGCAGTATTTTTGACCAATTTGTCGCTGGTTGTTGTTGAAAATAACTGGATTAAGATTTCGACATTAGAATTTTATCCATCGTATTGGTGCGCTTCGACCTGGCTGTCAGTACTGCGTTGTGTGTACTGTATTTACTTCTATTTGGAATAAATTGTTCTAGCGGCAGTTCCCTCCTTCGTACATCAGGAACACTTGCAATTTGTTAGAGCAGACAACGCGGTTGTAGTGTATGTAAGTGCGAGAACTAGAACTTTGTCACTTGATGAGCCGGATTACATGGAGAAGGATTATTTGGACTGGATGAGTGATCGCCTGTCCGTGATGGCCGCGACGTGTCGAACAGCGTGCAGGTTACCTTTGTCAAGCTCCGTCTGCTGGATGTCCCCGCACACCGATTGACGACAATTGTGGGATGTGTATGAAAGGTCACTGGTGTCCCAGGGAGTTGTTAGTGTGCCGCGGCTGGCCGAATGAGGGGCCGGGTTGCGTCAGCACGTCGGACACTGACGCGCGCGTTGGCACCTTTTGGGTATGCAGCCCTCAGCCGCGTTTCGTCAACAGATATTACAGGGCATCTGTGTCAGCCTTTTCTTGTTTGATTTGGGTGTTGCACGAATGTGCAGCGTTGATTCACGTGCCGCGAGTGGACGATGGATAATCTCGTTAATTTGGATGTGTACTGCCTGTCGAAAATGCAGTTGACCTTTGTACTGCTGCTTTTTAACGATTGCAGAGTTTGCGCCTCTCCCGTGTTTTCTATCATTTTTGTACCTGCGGCGCTCCCAGACTTTCACGTTAACTGCTTATTTTGCAATTAATATTGCAGAATTTACTGGGAATTTCTGACTATTGCTGCGACTGTTTACAGTATCTGCACGATATTTGCGATGATTACTAACAATTTCTCCATATGTTTCCGAATAACTGCTGCAGCAGGCTGCGCTTTTGACATCGGAATATATACAGAAAAAAACACTTGTTCCAATGTGTTGTCGCGATTTTTTTCCTCATGCATCCAACTCACAGTCTCGCGCTGTCTGTCAGCTGATCGCTGGATTATGCAAAGCTTTCGTTGGCTCGGTTCGAAATGAATTAGAAGTCAGGCGAATCGGCGAATCCCAGGCGGCACGCAGCCAAATAGAGTGTTGCAAAGCACATTCGTTCATACTCACAATACGCGTAAACAGTCAACATACGCGGTTACAACATCACCAACGTCTTTACAGTTATCTATTATTAATTTTATTACTGCCCTAGTAGTGTGCAATTGCATCGTGCGTCGCGCACCTTGGTGCAGTGGCTCTGCCTACGACGATCATACGACGTGGCCGGGGTTCGATTCGATTTTTATTTTATTCGTCAGTAGTGTAGTTCTCTGTGGTGACAAGACACGGAGTTTCTTATTGCATCTTATTGCATTCCATCTTTCAAGGAGTCGTCATCGTTCGATCAGACACTTGTCAGTGGAGTTTTCCTTTTTTTTGGATGTGCTTATAATCGGCTTATTTATTTTCTCCAGCATGCATTTGTACGGGGAAAGCCGTGATACTGGAGAAGCGTTTAAGGTGAACCAGTGGAACGGCGTGGATGTGGTGATCAACGGGACGCTGCAGCACGGCATCGTCGTTGGAATATCTGCCGTATCGGCCGACGGCCAGAAACACGGTCTGCTGATCGACTTCAACTGTCCACAGCGTCATTCGGAGTTTGCCGAGTACGGCAACATCTTCAGCTGCCCCGACACTATCGCGAATCCCTGCGAGCGATGGACGCAGGTTGCGAAGTGGGCGGAGACCCATCCCCTGCAGGCTTTAATACGCGTCGGTGCCGATCGGGCGTGGACGTGGTGGCCGGTCAAACAGGTGGTGCTGGAGGGTACGCTGCGCCGAGCGTGTTGCAACGAAATCGATTGCGAACTGGTGGAGGTGCAGTGGGGCGATGCGGTAACGAAGGAGCTGATTCCGCTGCGGCAGGTCCGCTGTGTGCCCTCACCGCAAGATCTCCAGCAGCGCCGTGTGGGACCGGATTATTTTGTCAGCCGCGAATGCCGTCTGCCTAAGGGATACTGGTCGGCGCCTCCGGGGGCGACGCGACGGTTGTGGCAGGACCTTAGCCGCGGGCGTCGTGCCTGCTGCGTTGCCGTTCGCACTGACAGCTTCACGTATTTTCAGCGCAATAGTCGAGAAATACCGAAACTTTCACTCGACGGAGTGGTTAGTATATAGATGGACTTGGTAGTTATAAAAATTAATATCCCTAAGCAATATGTTTAACTAGTGTACCTGCTTATAATTCTGGGGGTGAAGCAGTTAATTTTTAATTATTATTTTGGTGTCTCGAGCGACAAGTAAGCGCCTGCTTAATAACAGCTATTTGACTTACAGGAAAGCGCTTTCAGTGACGTTATAAAATCGGGATTTGTTCAACATTCCCACGGCAGCCAGGGCGACGGAAGCCCGGAAGGGGAGTGGGATGGGCGGCGCTTCGTCCCCCCTCGGGAAGAAGTAAAGCCCAGCCGACCGACGAGCATCCGGATCAAACGGGACGCGGCATCCCCGTACCGCGCGAAATCATGGCGGAAGTTCTCCAGTCACTGGACACCTTCGAGCGGGTCGGCATGCGGCGCGTTTGCCGTCTGTGGGATCTTGTGTTGGATGCGGGTAGGGTTGATATTACTCGTATAATTTGAAATGCTTCACATTTCAGTCTTCGAGTCAAACCATTTCACACCTTAACTACAGCTCAGGCATTTGCAACAGTTTAAAACGAAAATGTCATGTTTTCAAGAGATTATTTAAAGAGTAAAAACGGAGCGGAGCTGAAAAGCTAGTGGATAAGGTTGGAAACGGCATTGCAGCTTCCACCGGCCAGAAACGGGCGAACGAGTTTTTAAGCAGCGACTATCTATCCAGATACAACGTGGAAATACATTATGTGTAATGGGAACAATCCCTGACCAGGATAGCATAGAGGAAGTGTATCTATTATAAATTTTATTATTGGTACTTAGTTTGTATCCGGAATATGATACTTATTAAAGGTATGCCAGCTTTAAATACTTTCGATTAGGAGCAGAACTGATAAAACAGAATGCCGCTCTAATATTTATAAAATGCAATGGAATAAGCATCGCGAATTAACGATAACGTTTAACCTCGCAGGTAGTTAGAGGAAATGCAGCTACTGTTTTAAGCTTTAAGGACACTACGACTACGTGCACCGCCGGTGCACGTAATGATACTAACGATTTTGGTGTTGTTTCAACCTGTAAAATGTAATCATTTTAATCAGTGTAAATCTGCGAGGGGCTTATTTTTTTAATTCTTTTTTTATGACAGAAATCTCGCTGGAAAACTACTCTATGGTTTTTAAAATACGCATTTCCTGAAACCTCTAACTTTATTTCATTTGAAAGCGGCCCAAAAATGTTTCAGTTTCAACCGTAGATGCGGGTGCGACAGGCCAACAACTGTGGATTTCCTGCCGCCATCGCCCCCATAAGACCTTCAGTTGGGCGGCAGGGCAGTTTCTGCTGGCTTCCTGCCTCCTCAAATCCACCACCACGGACACCATCATCTTAGAGGATTCTGCAGAGGCATCGTACACGTCGCGGGGCGTGTACGGAATGGTAGCCACCCTGTTGCAGCAGCGGTGCATTAAGCGGCTGATCCTGTCCCGGCATGATTTCGGCCATCATGACTGCCATCTGCACGTGTACCTGGACTGGATGAATCAACAGCTGACGCGGTTTGCCGCCACCTGCCAGGTCGTCGTGTGGCGCGAGTGCCGGCTGTCGCTGGTGCAGGTCAGCGGAAAGGTGGCTTATGCCAAATTCTGTCTGCGTGAGGCCCCGTCCGCCCGCCTGGCGCAGTTGTGGGAGGTCTGCGAAAAGTCACTCGTCGAGAAGCAGGTGGACGATCTGCCGGGGCTGGCGGAGTAGATGGCGCGTTGTGCCAGTACATGGAATCAAGAGCGCGGGCATATTATGGGTATGCACTTATCTAGGTTGCAGCTGTATTCTGCAAGTAAATGATTTTCAGTAACGCCGTTTTCTCTGCGTTTGTGTAGGTTGTGAACGAATTTATTGGCACGGATCAATGCACGTCGCAGCAGGGCGCTTAGCAAGAATGGACAATGGAGAGTTTGGCCAATTTGGATGTGTACCGGCTGCCGAAGGTGACACACTTTATGCTGCAATGTCGAATCAACCATAGTTGAAGATTGTCAATGCCTACAGACTACTAAGTATTATTGGACTAATTACTAATTAATTATTATTATTCCTCATTACTATTTTTCTACTAATTAATTTATCACTTGATTTTTGTGGACTATTTTCGTAATTGTTCCATGTTGGGATTTAAAGTGAAAAGTATCGTATGAAAGTAAAAAGTATCGTATGAAATTTAAAGTATCGTATGAAACTGGTGTTCAGGATTTCCTCTTGAGAATTTTATCAATCGTGTCGTTCACATAATAATCGATGTGTTTCGCAGTTGTCTCTGTTGTTTATGCGCTGCAGCGATTAAATTGTTCTATATATAGCGCCAGTTCGTCTTTCATGTATCCAGGATTCCAGACTCCAGAGCAGGCAACGCGTTTGTAGTGTACGCGACCTTGTCCCAGGCTTATTGTTGCGCGATCAGGAGTAAGTCACTGGATATATTGTAGCGATAGAAGTTGTACAGCCATAAGACCACCCAGTTATGATTCATCATGACGTTATGAAGTCTTTTTATTTTATCGGCTAGCTGTTCTTCTTTACAATTTCTACAATTCATTCTTGTCTCAGCTTGCATCAGCTTGTTCCGCTTGTTAAACTCTCGTCTAAACCTTGCTGCCTGTGTTGAATTGTTCTTGTCTTTAAACATGCCGTGAACTTCCGTTGTTACGTTCAGTAATTGCGTTACGTCAGTAAGAGCGGCCACGACCGCACCGTTGCCGGTCGTGCCAACCTTTCATCCCAACAGCCCACACAACATGGGCTGTTGATGTTGATCGTACCACGACCGGTCAACACGCCAACCCACTAGAACAGCAGCCAGATCGGCTACTGTTACAATATACGAACGATGAGAAGAGTATTAGGAGAGAAGCAGAACAATCACGAGAGTGCAGAAGAAGTACAGAAAACACAAGCAATCAGAAACCATATTATATATAAACCGGTCAGAGGTGATTTCGATGCTTAATATTTGGAAAAAATTAATGATAATAAAAAGAGATTGCTACCGAAAACGAATCAACAGTTTTCGGAGCAAAGGGAAACGATTCAAACGAGGACGGACTAATGAAGTCAATTGAATCAGGTACAGATCTGTACCAGACAATTAATAACCGGCATCGCATTCACGCTACAGCATTTTGCTCAGACCAATTGTCTCGTAATTTTCGTGCCATTTACAATGTTGAATGTCAGTTAGTTTTTGGATTTTAGCTCGGTTAGCGGAGCTGATACAGTGTATGACTGAGTCGCCTGACTTCTGTTTTTCGTTTCAAACCGAGCCAACGATTACCTTCTATGATCAACCGATTAAATGACAAACAGCGCGAGGCTGCGAGTTTGATGAATGGAACAATACTGCAACATTTTTCGTTGTATTCCGATGTTACAAGCGCAGCCGGCTGCAGTAGTTATTAGGAAAAAATACAGTTTAATGAAAAATGATTAGTAATCATCGCAAATATCTTGAATCTAAAGAGGTCGCAGCAATAATCAGAAACGCCAAACAAATTTAACAACAGTAATTGCAAAGAGAATCAGTTAACGTGAAAGTCTGGAAGCGTCGCAAATACAGAAAGTATAAAAAACACCGAGTATGTGTAGACTGCGCGATCGCTGAAACGGCATCAGCTAGACAGGCACCAGCACAAGGTCAACTGCGTCACTTTCGACCGACTGAATAAATCCTGATTATCCATCGTCCACAGTAGTCACTCCACGCGCGGTGCGTGGATCAGCGCCTGCACATTCGTGCCAACACCTAAATCACACGAAAAAAAGGCTGACACAGATGCCATGTAATATCTGTTGACGAAACGCGGCTAAAGGCTGCCTACCCGAAGGATGACAACGCGCCCGTCACGCGGCAAGCCGCGGCACACCGACGGTGACCGACCACTCCATGGGACACCAGTGACCTTTCATAGACATCCCACAACTGCGTCAATCGGTGTGCGGGCGCATCCAGCAGACGGAGCTTAACATAGGTCACCTGCACGCTGTTCGTCAGCATCGTCAGCGGACAGTTGCGCCACACCACCACACGGCACGTCGCGGCCATCGCGGACAGGAGATCATTGATCCAGTCCAGGTAATCCTTCTCCATGTAGTCCTCATATTCAAAATCGTGATCGCTGAAAACGCACCGGGACAGGACCAGCGTCGTAATGCGCTGCTGCTGCAAGAGATCGGTTAGCAATCCAAACACGTCCCGCGAAAAGTAGGCTAACTCCTTCGAATCCTCCAATACGATCGTGTCCGTGGTAGATGTGGCGCCCCTGAGCATGCAGACAGCCAGTACAAACTGCTCCCCCTCCAACCAACGGTTCTGAAGGAAGGGATGCCGGCAGGCGATCCACAGATGCTTGCCGGTCGCATTCGCATCCAGCATGGCCTCCCAGAGACGGCAGACGCGCCGCTTGCGGACCCGCTCGATGCTGTCCAGGGACTGAAAGATTTCCGCCAATATTTCGCGTGGTAAGGGGATGCCGCGACTCGTTCGGTGCTCTTCGGTGGGCGGAGCTTTGACTTTCCTTAAAGGGAGAACGGAGCGGTCCCATTTGCTTTCTTGGCGTTCTCCGTTATCGCTGCGGTCGGTGTACAGCGCAGACTGGTGCCGTACAATATAGTCAAAAGTGCTATCCTAAAGATAACACAGCGGCTATGTAGGACTCGCTTCGCGGACTAAAAGGAACTTAATTACTCGTACTGAAATTAGACGACCCCCGGTGGCTGCGAGCAGACCTAGGGCATTTTCGTATTCCTTAAACTTGTGAAAATACAGTACAAGAAAAGTATATGAAAAAAAGCCAATAACCTGCATTTACCAATGATACAGGTGAAATAGGCAGTTCTTCATTGCGCTGGAAATACGTGAAAGTCTCACTGCGTATGGTAATGCAGCAGGCGCTAAAGTTATGGCTAATCTTCTGCCACAGCAGTCGCGTTGCCCCCGCGGGCGCGGACCAGTATCCGCTGGGCAGACGGCATTCGGAGCTGGCAAAGTAATCTTGTCCCACGCGGCGCCCCTTCAGATCGTCAGGCGCACCACGGATCTGATTCAGCGGAATTAATTCCTTCGTTACCGTTACCGCATCGCCCCACTGCACCTCCACCAGACCACACTCGATATGGCTGCACGACGCTTTACGCAGCTGGGCGTCCGCTAGTAGTGCTAGTTTGGCCGGCCACCACGTCCAGGCACGGTCTCCACCGACACGCAGCAACGCCTGCAGAGGATGGCTCTCGGCCAACGCAGGCTCCTTCCAGCGCTTCCAGGACCCCGGGACCGGGCACGGGCAGCGGAAGATGCTGCCGTACTCGACGAACTCGCAATGCCGCTGCGGACAGTCCAGGTCAATCAGTACGCCCGGCGTCCCGTCACCCGCAGTGGCCAGACCGATGACGACGCCGCGCTGCAGCGTCCCGCTGATCAGCGCATCCACACTGTTCCACTGGTATACGTCATACACAACGGCGCTGTTACCACTGCCAGCAAAAATATGCATGTTTCAAGAACGGACAGATAGACTTAATCTTCGGAAGCTAACAAGTGGCACATCGAAATAACGGTGAACTTGTCCAAGAGCAAAAGTCCCAGACTTACAGTGCTGTCACAGCAAAAATATGATCATGTGGTGACACTGGATCGCAAAACCACAGCTTTCTCGACGATTGATAGCACAACCCCACTCGCAAGCGGTAGACAGCATCGATAATTTCAAGACCGTAACAGCCTTTTCTGAGTACGGCGAGTAGTGAGTTCAAACTTCAGTGTCTTGTCGAGTCAACAGTGAACTTGGCACCTTTTAATTAGCTTTTCGTATTAGTATTGGGCAGATTAAAAGAGCCATCGTTCCTTCCTCGAAAAGAGTCAAAGCTCCGCCCAGCGAAGATCATCCACTGGGCCGCGGCATTCCCGTACCACGCGAAATATTGACGGAAATCTTCCAGTCCCTGGATACCATCGAGAGAGTGCGAAAGCGGCGCGTTTGCCGTCTGTGGGATGCTATGCTGGATGCGGGTAGGGTTGGAATCCCAATTTCAAGCTTCGAATCAAAGCATCTCACAATCGCACCGGGTTTCGAGCGTATTAATCAGTTTTAAACGAATAATTTCTTAATTTGAAAGTATTGTTCAAATAATTGTTTGGTACTCGTAGAGAAGTTGAGCGAATTAATTACCGGTGTAACATAAAACAAGTATATAACGGTTGGAAATAAGGATATCTCAGTATAACTATAATTATTACTTTTACATTTTACATAATTCATTTGTTTACGACAATTGATATATTTTAAAATTTCTTATCAATTATTTTTCCAAAATGCTTAAATTTCGACCTTAGGCCTTGGCAAACCCCTGTGGATCTCCTGCGGGCGTTTCGCCCACGGAGCACGCAATAAGACGCCAGAGCAATTTCTGCTGGCTTCCTGCCTACTCAAATACGCCACTTCCGCCACGAACACGATCATACTGGAGCATTCTTCCGAGTTATCGTACATGTCGCGCAACGTGTACGGATTAATAGCGACCCTGTTGCAGCAGCGGCACATCAAGCTACTGATCTTGTCCCGGTGTGATTTCGACGATCACGACTGCGAATCGATCTGAATGATTACCTGGACTGGATCAATGAACATCTGACGCGGTTTGCCGCGACGTGCAACGTGCTGGTGTGGCGCGAGTGTGAGTTGACGCTGACGCAGACTCGCGCCAAAGTGGCCGTTGCGAAATTCGGTCTGCGTGACGACCCCGCACACCGTCTGACGCAGTTGTGGGAGGTCTAATGAAAGGTCACTCGTGGAGGGAGAAGCGGTTGATTTGCCGAGACTCGCCGAGTGGGTGACGCGTTGTGTCAGCACACAGAGTGATGCATGCGCCGGCATATTATGGGTATGCAGACGGAAACCGTGTTGTACGAGCAACCAAACAAACAGGGCCGCTGTATTTCTTTGCCTTTAGGTTTTAAACGAGTATATTGGTGCGGATCCACGGATGGCGCAGCAAAGTGGTGATCAAGAATGGACGATGGAGACTCTGGCCCGTTTGGATGTGTTCAGGCTTTCCAAAGTGGCTCAATATACCCTGCACTGTCGAGTTGATGAAAGTTAAAAATTGTTCTCACCAAGGCAGTATTTTTATGCAAGTTAGGTACCATATATCATGGTTGTTTTTACTCGCAATGCTGTGACATTGTCACATTACCCATGGAAATGCCTCCAGCAAATTATGCTTGCTGGGAAAATAAATTCTTTTAATTCATTGACATTTGACAGTAAAACCAAAATGACTGTTGGTGGCTACTGGCTATTGCCTTTAAACATCCTTAAATGACTGTGCTTTGCAGCCAGTGCGAACTGTACAGGCAACATGTATGACATTCAAAGGCATAGGTAATGTGTATGACTATCTCACCATCTGTACGTCTTTAAATGTCCATAGAAAAACTTGAAAAATCACGTTAGGTGTCAGTTGTTTCCGTTGATGTTTGTTTGGACAGCTTCTCGCTTGGACAGCTTGCATTCTCGCTTGGACAGCTTGCAGACTGCTCAATAAATCTAGAACTTGCTCTCTGCAGCCTTTAGCCTACTCGATTGTGCACTCTAGCCGTACATCTGGCATAGAATACTCCATATACACAGCAGTGACCTTTACACTCGGTCGCTCTTTGCATGTCGAAAATGCCCGAATCGGATGATGGCGACGATTTTGAGGATGACCTATCTGGCCTACAGTTTGTTGATTTGGTTAACAAATTATCGGAAATTGTTCAGGAAGTGTATGCCAACCCACCATCCAAGAAAACCAAACTCCATGCTGTTCTCACCAAACACAAGGACGCACTGGAGCAAATCCCTTTCTTATTAAAAGATCACCACATCCGCCTCTACGAAAATGCCCTGAAGACGGAAACCGAGCTCGGCCATGAAAAAGAACGTGTGATACAGCTAACTCGCAGGAATCACGAAGATACCGGCACCCTGATCATCGGCCATTGCGACAAAGAGAAATGGCTGCCCACCAACAATCCCGTGCCACAAAAATCCTATGCTGCAATCGCCAAAGAACCCCTGCCTGCAGTAATACTCCAGCCGAAAAATAAAGCGTCCCTGCCACCCCACCAATCCCGTACAACACCGAATGAATTGTCCAAACTATCAAACGCCCTTAACACAGCCATCCCTGCTGGCGCTGCGAATCTCAACGTGACTGACATCCGTCCCATCGGTGGTAAGCGTGTCCTACTTCAGTTCAAAAATGCCGACAGTGCCGAAAATGGTAAGTCAGTTTTACAAAACCATGCAGAAACATTAGGCTACGAAGTCGTCCCTATTAAGCCTAAAATGTCAAGGGTTATTGTTCGCCGAGTCCCGAAAACACTGTCAAATAATGACCTTCTAAATGAAATAAAGGCCAAAAACATCCTTCCACCCAACTCAGAAATTAAAATTGTCATCCGTTTAACCAGTCGGCGCGAAGAAGTTTCCACATGTGCAGTTGTTTTGGAAGTCAGTCAGGCTGTTCGCAATATGTTGACTGACCACCGCTTTTTAATGATTCAGTGGTCACGTTGTCCCGTAGAGGATCATGTATACATCCCACAGTGTTCCACGTGTTGCGTTTATGGCCACACTTCGACGAAGTGTGACAAATCACCCCGCTGTGCTTACTGCGCTAAAGGCCATTTGTCTACAGACTGTACGGAAAATGATGATTTTGTATTTGTGTGCCCGCTTTGCAGTGACAGCAATGTTTACATGCCGGCCAACTACCATTCAGCATACGATCGCCCATACTGTACTGTTTTCAAAAATTCGCGGTATTTTTACAACCAAAACGTTCCAAAAAACCGGTAGACGACGTTGAAATTTTGGAAACTAACTTAACTGAGAAAACCGCTGTGAGACCGGGATCACTAGCGTTCACGTCAGTGGCGCTAGGCGCTACGCCTTTGGATTATGGCCTGTGTTGTGTCTCGCTTCTGATTGGCTTGTGTTTTGTTAGTGGGCGCGGCATAGCACGTGCTGCACAGCGTTGCACGCTGTTGAATGGGCTCCACGCTTTACGATCGAGCTGCGCCGATCAGTGTTGATTTTCTGTTGTCGGAATTTTCAATATTATTAAAAGTCAGCTATTAGCGGTGCGACGTTTCGCGATTCCGCGTAGTTCGCTATACTTATCGCATAGCTCACTCCACGGGATCTATTCCGTTTAGGTCTCCGTATCTGGATCACTGCTGGATCTAGCATTAGATGGTAGCAGAGCCGACAGCGGTTCTCTGAATTTGATTTGATTTGTGTCAGGCAAAGTTGGCCTGTCATCTGATGTGAAACCCGACCAGTAAGGCACAGGTCTGTACCACAGCAAAGCGCAACACCACAAGCGGTGCAAGTTCCTCATCGGACGTGGATTTCCAGCCTTGTTTTCGGTGCAGCGTCTTCAGCGAAGACCTGTACTGTTGCAGGGACTGTGCAAGAGTTCAAGAGAGCAGTCGCCAGTGTTCCTCGGTGTAGAGTCTTCAGCGAAGACCTACACTGGTGTCACTGGTACTCGGCAAGGATTCAGCGAATCCTAAGCCGTGGGGCAGAAGCGCCGAAACGCCGAAAGGGGCGTACGGAAAAGACAGATCAGACTCCACCAAACTGGTGTAGAGCGTACCACTACTGTTGCTACGGCAGTCAGCCGGCACAGTAACCTATCAAAAGCGTGCGGCACCACCGTTACGGTAAAACCGGCGGCAGCGCGGGAACGGACAGTGGAGAAGAAATTGGATCATCTGGATCGTTTTCCCCGTGGAACGGACGGTTAACAGGTAGAAAACCGTTATTAATTACGAGATTGGTTAGACGGTAAAATTGTCAATTTTTATTGGTCCGTTCTGAGCTGAGCGTAAAAATAGGCGGAGTTTTGCACACGGCGCGCATGTCTGGCCGTTGACCGTGACGTCAGGCAGATATAAATTTTTAGAGGAGCAACGTGATTGGTCAGTTATCTGAGCTGTGATTGGTTGAAATTTGAACTGAATGATTTGCGCTAGCTGACCAATAGGAATGAAGTAAACAACCCGAATGGGGATTTTCCGTTGAACTCGAGTCGTAATGGGAAATTTGATTTGAGATGAGATAATTGAGCGGGAAAGTGACCTTTTAACTTGAATTGAGTTGAGAAGTGACCTTTTGAGTTGAAACAAAGGAAAAGTGACCTTTGAGTTAATTGAGCTAGAAAGTGACCTTTTAGCTTAAATCGAGTTGAGAAGTGACCTTTTGAGTTGAGACAAAGGAAAAGTGACCTTTGATTAAAATTGAGCTGGAAAGTGACCTTTTAACTTGAATCGAGTTGAGAAGTAACCTTTTGAGTTGAGACGAGCAGGAAAGTGACCTTTGAGATCAGAAGTTGACCTTTGACATCGGAAAGTGACCTTTACCGAAAAGTTCTAACTGATCAAAATGATCTTTCGAGTGACCTTTAAGATCCGGAATTGACGAACGGTGACCTTTATCGAAGCGAAATTGAACTGAATAGTGGTACAGCGATATCAGCAGCTGTAGGATTTCATTCACTAACGTGTTTGGAACCGTAAAAGCCGTTTCGAAGTTTTGTCCGAAAGTGATCCTTAGGGCAAATCTCTCGAACTTTTTAACGAAAAAGTGACCTTTAGAACGGGACTTAGTCAAAATTTCTCAGTCGAAAAGTGACCTTTAATAAGGACTTAGAAAAATTTCGAGGCACAAAGTGACCTTTAGGACAATCGAATAAACCATACGATAACGTTTGTGTGAGAACAATTGGCAGGAGCGTCCAAGTTATACGATCAACATGGACAAAGAGGAACCGACATCCACTAGCAGTCAGGGAAGCAGGAGCTCCCGGGGATCACAACAAGGCACAGTTGATCCTTATAAGAAGGAATACAAGTCGCTCGCGCGTCCAGTCGGACATGATAGACAGACCCGAGCGGCTGTGACCTTTGCAAGAAAGGACAGCAAAGGCAGTGATAACACATACCAAGTGGCGCTTGGAGCTATACAGAACGAAGAGAGCTCCAGCGGTGACGGAAAGGAAACTCCCGCGTCTACGGCGAGAGGCAATCCGATGAACCAGAAAAAGGTCACCGGGGAGGAAATACCCACAGGGAAAGGAGTGGAACTAGTCGGAGCATCACAGTCGGATGCTACCACTATCGGAACTACTGAACAGGATAAAAATGTAAACCTGGTTCAGTCGGAAGCTGACAGGACAAAGGTCACAGAAATGGAATTGGCTGAACTGGGATTGGATGACCTTTCACTGCACGATAAGACTGTCGGTGATGACCTTTGGGCAACTCCGATGGTCTCAGACGAATCGAACGAGTCATACTTCACGGATGATGAAGCGACAATGAATATGTCCTTCCAGACCGCGATGAAAGAAGCTGACCATGCCGAAGGGATGACACCGTTTAAGGACATACCCGAGCACCTTATTGAAAGGACACAGTCTGGGAAGGTCATCAATGTTAGACCGTCATCACCGAACAGTCCCACGTCAACTCTGAAGAGACGCGTGAAGGAGCTGGAAGAGGAACTCGAAGCCAAGGAAGGCCTGGTGACGAAAAGGAAACAGGAATATCAAAATCGGATAGGAACTCTGGATGCTCGTATCTATGAACTGGAGCAACAACAGGCCGACTTGGAAAGCGCAGCGGATGAATGGAAGATTAAATACGAGCGTCAAAAAGAACTCGCTGAAGAGTACCTCAAAATGGTAGATGACAGAGAAATGGAAGGTCATCTTGCGGTTAGCGAGTTGAACGAGAGTATGTCAGAAGAATCAGCTGAAAGGTCACGACACTTAGCCGAATTGAAGGACGAGTGTGACCAGTTGCGTCAAAAGGTCACTGAAGCTGAAACTAAACGGGACGAATACGCGACCAAATTCGCAGAGGTCACACAACGGTTAACGACATTGGCAACGGAGACGTTCAAACTAAGGAATGACCTGAAGCTACGGGAGGAGGCTGTCAGTACTCTGCAACTAGAATCGAAAGGTCATCAGGAACGGGCGGACGAAGCTGAGAAGTTGCGCAATGATGCAATCAAAGCGATGCGAGAGGCAAGAGACATCACAGCTACTGAAGGAGAACGCCTGAAAGAAGAAATCAAAAAGGTCAACCAAGAGAACGAAAAGGTCACAGAAGACATTGAAAAGGTCACTAAGGAAGGACTCAAATGGCAGAAGGAAGCACGGCGACTGGACACGATGGTCACAACATTGGAGTTGAAGGACAAAGAGTGGCAACAACAGGTCGCTCAAAAGAGTCAGGAAATTGCAAAGTTGAACACTGACCTCGTCGAGATGACCACCACAGCATTGGCAAAAGATGATGAGTTGATCGCAATCAAGGATCAGCTGAGATCAGCCGCTGGGCAGTATCAGCAACTCGAAAAAGAAACGAGTGAGCTGGTCGAGCACATCAAAAAAATGGAACGGGAAAATGAAAAGGTCACCCAGCAGGAGTCTTTTAAACTGCAGGAACACTTACGAAAGGTCAACCTGGAAAATTCTGATCTAAAGAGGGAAAGAGAAGAACTTCAACTGAGAACTAAACGATTGGAAGATGAGAACAAGGCGCTCCAGACGTCTAACAAGCACAAAGATGAACAACTCCTACAATACGGAGTTAAAACGGCAACAGTGGAGTCCCCTCCGCCCAGTTACAGCAAGGCGCATGAAACGGGCACGGGCAAAAGCTTCCACTTTGAGATGCCGCTACGAACCGGCACCGGTAAGGGGAGTGTTAAAAATGAAAGAGATGGCGAAAAGGTCAAAGACGACAAAGAGCCACCTTCGGAAAGTTACCCGCATATGAGTCGAGGTGATCCTTCACAATTTCCCCCGCACATTGAAACGAATGTGTTTATCGACGAAGGACGACGAGACAGACCCCCCAGCCGGCAGGAACGTCCAAGGAAGTCTCGTTATGGGAAGGCGCAACGAACTCACAATGATGATGAGAGTAGCGAAGAAGACGAGGACCAGAGAGCAGCCAACACAGCGGTACAATTAACAAAGGCACTCAATTCGATGGCTCGGAAAACACCCCTCATGACCTTTGACGGCAGCCGCGACACTGTGAGTGGATGGACACGGTTGGTAAAAGAAACCCAAAGGACGTACCAGCTGACGGACGACCAAATTATGATTGAGATTGCTAGTGCGGTGAAAGGTCCTGCTAAAACTTGGTTCGAAGGCGAAAAAGACATCGCAGCAGAAGACGGAATTGAATATTCAATAACTGAATGGATGGAGAAATTCAAAGATGAATATGGCGATAGAGACGAAGAAGTCTTAGGCTTACGTGAGGCCTATGCAAGGAAATTCGAACTCGGGAAAGAATCGCTTGATCAGTATTACCAGGCGATGATGCGATTTAAAGCAAAACGGATCATCACAGAGAAACAAGCTGTGGGTTTCCTAATTGAAGGATGTAGAGGGGATAACGAACTCTACAAGGCATTGCGCATACAGAAGTGCAAGACGCCAACAGACGTGAAAGACTTCTTCCGACATTGGGCCACTGGCGAAGAGAAATACAAGGCGCCAAAAGGTCAACGCACCCAGGATTACGTGACGATCCGCCAAGGTCAAGTTGAAAACGTGCCGCAACAGAGAATGGCAGCTGCGCCAGCCCAGCAGCCGGTTGAGTACCGCGTGGAGACTCCGGTTAGAGAGGTCACCGAAAAGGTGACCTTTATCGACAGTCAGACGGGGCAACCGATAACATACGCGATGGTGGCGGCGATACAGGCAGCAGCTCAAGTGAGACCAGTAGCCCAGAATGTGGCTCCACAGAATGTGGCCCCACCTGCACCACAGAATATGGTCCCCATGAATGTCGGGTTACCACAACAAGGAGGGGTAACGGTAACTTTGGCGGAAATGGATATGGGAATGGAAACTGGAATGGAGGCCAAGGAAACTTTCAGAATCAAGGTCAAGGTCAAGGCAACTTTCAGCCAAATAGAGGAAACCAGAACTACCAGCAGAATCAAGGGTCACGGACAGAATTCAAGTTCCAAATGATTGACGGATGGGTGGCGAACAACGTTCAGATGTGCCAATACTGTATGTACGGCAACCACCAGACCCAGGGATGCAAATTCGCCAACACACCACCGGAACAGAACCCAAACCTGTTTGCCTTCAACGAGTGGCAACGACTGCGCGGGCTCGGTGGTTGGCGCCAAGCGGTCGCAAATGGATATGACCTGATTACGCAATGGTACCAGGCGAAAGCGAACTTCCAGAATCAGCAAGGTAACGGAAACTATGGAAATGGAAATGGGGGCGGCCAAGGCGGCGGCTATCGCGGCGGTGGCTTCGGTCGCGGCGGCTTCAGAGGAAGAAACAGAGGCTTTGGCCGCGGAAACTTCAGAGGAGGCCAGAACAATGGCGGCGGCCAAGGAAACTACCAACAGGGTGGTGGCCAGCCAAACGGAGGTGGCCCGGTGAACGAGCAAACACAAGGACATGTGCAGGGCGCGCAACAAGGTGGAGCGCCGGTTCAGGGAAACGGGCAAGATCAGTAGGCACCGGTGAGCCTACTGATCGACCCGACCCTAAACCACCGGATAAAAGGGAAAGGTCACCACTGCAGAATGGTACTGCAGTGAACGTGACCACTGCAACGGCTATATGGATGCCGTCAGCGAAAAAGCAAAGTGGACCGGCTATATGGATGCCGCAACCACAAGAAACGGCTAGATGGATGCCGCCACAGCAAAGAGAAACGGCTATATGGATGCCGTCATCGCAAAGAGGAAATGGAACGGTTATAGGGATACCGTCACAAAGTGAAAGGTCACCGCAGAATGGCACTGTGAGTGGAAACATCCAAGTGGATAAAAGGTCACCGCAGAATGGTACTGCGAGTGGAAACGCGCAACGGGACCAAAGGTCACCGCAGAATGGTACTGCGAGTGGGAATTGTCGTGACGGTAGCGCGACACTGCAAAAAGTGCAGCAAAATGAAAGGTCACCGTACTGCAGCGAGAAAGTGTTAGCTGAACGTCGTGCATTACGTAATGCCAAGATTCGACAAGCGCTGTTAAATCAAAAGAAACCGCAAACCGATACAGCAGAAGAAGTGGAAATGCACCACGAATGGTTCCGGAAACAGATAAATGGCAAGTCGAAAGACCAAAATTCACCACCGCAGAACGATACTGCGCAAGAGGAAAATGAGCAACACGCGAAATTCCGGAAATTTTTGGCAGAAAACGATAAGGCGAAGGAGCCAAGTTGCGATTGTTACGGGGAACCAAAGCCAAAGTTTTGGAATCGTTCAGAAGACGAAGAAGAGAAGCGAATAAGGCAAGAATGGATTAAGCAGAATATCACTGTCATTAGTAAAGATGAAAGGTCACCTTCTGTTGGAAAAGTCCAAGTTAAAGGTCAAGGAGCGAGTGTGAATGTGAAAGGTCACGGCGATAGCGTCGTGTTAAAAGGTCAAGAAACAGACTTGACACTGCGAACAGCGCAGCAAAAGAATGGCGAATTGGCACAACAGAACTCCGATGACTCACTTGTAGATGCAATAACGCTGCAACAGAAGGAAAAGTGGCAAAAAGTGGCCTACAGACCGAATGGCAATCACGGGATGTGGATACCTGTGACGCCGAAAGCAAAGCAGAAAGCGAGAATGTCACAAGAGGACTACTGGGACATGCAACAGTTGCGAACGCAATGTGAAAGAAAGCGACTGGAAGAGTTGGTTACCGGGAAACCAGCGCAAAGGTCATCGAACCCAGTCCCAGTATTCAATCCAGAGGAATATAAGGAGACATTCGCTGACTGGAATCATTCACGTAATGCTCCACCACAGGATAAACCGCCGAATTATGGAGAAAAAGTCCCCATACAAAAGCTGACAGGTGGCGGATTTGTCATGAAGCGCAACGAAAGGTCACAGGACTTAGCGCAAAATGAACAGAAAGGAAGGTCAAATGAAATGGCGCAAACGCAACAGAGTAGCGCAGTTGAAAGGTCACGGGACTTATCGGAGGCACTGCAAAGGATGCCAATGACAAGTCACCAGCCCGAACAGACGGAATGTCTTCACAAATCGATCCGACGAAAACGAACAATGAAGTGTCCGCGAAAGTGATCGAATGGATGACCGAAAAGGGATATAATATGGTCACATATGAAAGGTCACCAGAGGAGATGAGAGATGGTGAAGAAGACGAATTGAAGCGAGCTGACCAAATAACAAGTGAAGTCATTGAGAAGCTGAGAGATAAACGAAATGAAAATCGTAAAGAGGAATTGATCCATCAGACGATAAATGAAGTGACTAAAGGTCACATGGATAGCACAAAAGCAAATGAGCAAGTGCAGAATGTGGAAAAGGTCACCGGTGTTAAAATGGCTACAGAGAAGCGAACAAATAAAGAAAAGCCGCGAAAATATTACGATGTTCGGACTAACGTTCCACATAGGATTGATAAGTTGAGCGAGATATTGAAAGGTCATAGCACTCCAGCAAAAGGACAAGTGCTTCCCGATATGGACCCGGGACCAGTATCGCTTATTCCTGTGAAATGTAAGATTCATACTTTGAAGATTCAAAATGGAAAACTGCCCAAGAGAATTGAAGCGTACACACACGAAGTGAAAGTGGGAGACATAAAGGTCAACGCAATGTTGGACACCGGCGCTGAGACGTCGCTGATCAGCAAACCGTTTTGCGAGAAGAATGGACTCCACATGCTCCCATTGCCACCTGACAGATTGGTGAAAATAAATGGAATTAGCGGAACGTCAGGATTCCTGGTGACGCACTACTGTGTAGCGCCAGTGACCTTAAGGAAAAAGACTAGCGAACATTCATTCTACGTCCGACCGAAGTGTGACGACGTACAAGTGTTATTGGGATTTGACTTCTTGGAAAAGAAATTCGTACTAATGGATAACGAAGGTGAAGAAGAGAAAGAAGACGACCCAAAACCAGTCGCCAAAGTTCAAGTCGGAAAGGTCACCGAACTTGTAAAACAGACGGGAAATGCTCAAATGGTTAATAAAACGCTAATCCCAGTACCAGAGGCACCGGGAAACGAAAAGAAAAAGATGACGCGAAAAGAATTGTCACCATTTGAGCAGTTGCAAATGATTCAGCAGGAGATCGAAAAGACATTAAATCGGACCTTGCTGGCACAGAAGGGAAGAGAAAAAGTCATCCCAGTACCAGAGGCACCGGGAATGACAAAAGTGCAGCAGGAAGAAATTATCCCAGTACCAGAGGCACTGGAAACGAAAAATGAAAATGGAAAAGTCGGAAAAGTTATCCCAGTACCAGAGGCACTGGGAAAGGAAGACAAAAGGTCACCAGCAACTGAGAACTTGGAACGAGAGCGTAATTCGAACCTTTTCGAACCACGATCTGCTACCCAAAATGAAAGGCTACCAGATAAAGCCAAAGAGGAAATAACAGAACGTGACTCTCAAAGGTCACCAACGATTGAAAGGTCACCAACGATTGAAGAGATAATTGCAACACAGAAAGAAGCGGCAGTTGCAGCGAAACAATCTCTTGTGCCAGACATGGAGTGGGCAAAGCCTATCCCAGTACCAGAGGCACTGGAAATAAAGACGGCTAAAGTGGGGAAGGATAAAAAGAGTGAAAGGTTACGAGTTTTGAAACGAATAGTTGAAGAGGAACAGATGTTTACAGGCGAAATCCGCGACAAGGCACTCGAACAATTGAAAGGTCACCGAACAGAAAAAGAACCAGAGGTCATTGAAATATCCTCTGAGGATAAAAGCGTGACTCCAATCGAATGTGAGGAAGATACCACAGTACAGGAACAGGTTAAACCTGAAGCGAGTCAAAGGACATTAACTCCAGAAGAACGAGCCGGGAGTTGTCACCACGGTTACTTTGAGGATCCGTGCAGAGTGCAACCACAATGGGAATGCGCGGAGTGTTGTGAAAATGCCTCTCAAGATGACCCTTCAGAATGGCCAAGATGTAATGCCGCATCAGCAGACCTTAAAGGTCATGCCCAAAAGAAAGCGAAAAGCATCATGCGGACAAACGAAATGTGGAAACCACACATCGAACGGTATCATTGGAATAGATATCGAACGTGGTTGTCATGTGTGGAAAGTTTTATAATTGGAAGAGGCAGATGGCTGAACCATTGGTTGCAACGTGTCGAGAAAGGAATCCAAGATCCTCTCGATCCGGTAGCAACAGAAAGGAGATTTGAACGAGAGATAGAAGAAATGACCGAGGAAGGAGAAATGTGGGAAGAAGCGAGAGTTGACCTTTTCTGGGACTTCCGTGTGAACCACATGTATAAAGGCGAGGGGAGAACGATCATCTTCCCAGCAGGACTCGGTACACCTGTCTACGAATCACTTGAAGTTTACTACAACGCGTTAAAAGAAGGAAACGAAAAAGCATTCGAGAAATATTGGAAGAAATTCAAGGAAGAAATCCCCAAATTTGACGTAAAAGAGATGCGAGAACTACAGGTTACCCGGAAAAGAAGGTCACCAGGATTAGTGCAAAAGAAAAAGGTGACCTTTGCACCAGATCCAGATGGAGTGGACTACCCCGAACGAGGCGGTGATACATGGTGCATGTATGAAACGATTCCAAATGATGAATGGGTCACCGAAGAGCTGATGGCAAACTGCATCTTTGTTGGTCCTAAACGACCTAAAGGTTACGAAACAGTTCAACAGGATGAAACCAATAAAGGGACTGTCAAAGAAGCAGAGAAAGAGGAACCAGTTAAAGAGATAGCCGAAGGACAATCGAATGAAACAGAAGAAAGTTCAAAGTCGGCTTTCGATATTGCGCAAATGTTAACAGACAGAGGTGAAATGTGGAAAAGGTTTAAAGAGGAAGTTGAAAGGATATCGAGCGAACAACAAAACCCAGTAACTGAGGCAAAAAACGGGGAAAGGTCACTCGATAACGGTGAGGAATATCCGCCGGTCGAGTTGACCGAAAAGCCATTAACGAGCCGCGAAGAAATAAATGAACTGGAAAATTCAAAATCGGACGAAGAAAGGTCAAACTCCGATCAATCAGAAAGGTCACCAACGAGAATTCGGGTAGCAAGGAGTCACCCAAGAGTCGCCGCACGAAACGGACGAAAAGCAAAAGAAGGGGACAAACCTCTGCTTAAAAATTCGAAAGCGAAAAAACTTAGCGATTCGCGAGAAAACAAAAGTGACCTTTCATCGGAAGACGAAGGAGTTGATGAGCGCCCACTTGAAAAGGCTGACAAAGGTCAAGCCACTGCACAAGAATATGAGAGCAGTAACTCCGACTCCGAGTGGACGAGTTCAAGCGATAACTCAACAACTTCGGAAGATTCAGGTGTAAGTGACCTTTCGGAGCAAGAGGATTTAATGGACTTGGATGAGGATGACGAAGTAGATGAGGAAAAAGAAAAGGATATTAAAGTCAGAAGATTGAAAGTGGAAAAAGCTAGAATGTCGAAAGACGTGATCAAAGTTTACAGCGATCAGCGAATCAAATTGAAACCGTCAAACTGCACACGTGTAAAGGTCAAGATGGGAAAATATGCACCGGCTCAAAACAAGCTGATGTTTACACCGGTCCCACAAGTGGAAACTGAAGTGCAACCGTTGGCAGGAGTGACGGACCACAGGGGAAAATACTTCGAAATCGTTATCGCAAATCACAGTAGCAAATACCGAATCGTGAAGAAAAATCAGCTTCTCGGCTACGTTGAGCCGTACGAACATATGGAGAATGTAAAGGTCAACGCAGGGACAGTAAAGAACGTACTCGAAGACCCTGAGGTGGATGAGACAACGAAAGCTGAACTTAAAAAGATAATCGAAAACCTGAAATTGGGACCTGACCTTACCCAAGAGCAGAAAAACGACGTGTACAACGCGTTTTGGGAATTCTGGAAAGTCTTACCCACATCAAAGAAACCGTATGGAGATGTGAAAGGGGTCACCCACGTAATTGATACGGGAGATGCGAAACCAGTAAAATGTAACCCGGCCAGAACGAGTTGGACAGGCCGCGAGTTTATAACAAAGCATATCGAAGAGATGTTGGCACAAGATGTAATTGAACCGTCAGACGCCGAGTGGAGTTTCCAGTCGTATTGGCAGTAAAGAAAAATGGCGACGGAACAATGGGAACAAGATTTTGCGTCAATTACATCATGCTTAACAAGCTAACGAGAAAGAATAATTACCCGTTACCAAATCCGGATGAGTTGCTCGACGCGTGCGCAGGCAACAAATATTACGGAAAAATGGACTTACAAAGTGGATTCTGGCAGATCCCAATGGATCCAGCGTCAATCAACAAGACGACCTTTGTAACACAAGATGGAATGTACCGATTTAAAAGAATGCCATTTGGCGTATGCAACGGACCAGCAACGTTTCAATTGTGTATGGATAAAGTACTTTCGAAAGCGAAAAGAAAGGGTTGCGTTTTCGGGTATATCGACGACGTGATCTTCGCCGGAAAAACTTGGGAAATTTTCATGCAGAATCTGCGAAATGTTTTAATGAGTCTGGTGGAAGCGGGATTCACGATTAAGCCAACGAAATGCGAATTTGGAATGAGACAAATGGGATTTCTGGGTCATATACTCAGCGAGGACGGAATTCGTATGGACCCGGAAAAGGTCACCGCGGTCTCAGAGTTCAAACGGCCTCAAACAGAAAGGCAGTTAAGGTCATTCCTTGGACTGGCGAATTATTATCGCAAGTTCATAATGGGATACGCACAGAAGACTTGCCACTTGTATGAGTTGCTGAGACAAGATAAACACGTGAAAAAAGGACTGGACTGCAGTGCATGAAGAAGAGTTCAATAGTTTGAAGAAGTTGTTGTGTGAAGGTCCAGTACTGGCAAAGTTTGACCCCGCGAAACCGACCGTTATTGAATGCGACGCGAGCAAAGAGGGAATCGGAGCCGTACTGTCACAAGATGGACATCCGATCGCGTACGCCAGTCGTGTCCTACATGGAGCGGAGAAGAATTACGGTGTAACAGAATGGGAATGTCTGGCAGTCGTGTTTGCTGTCAGAAAATTCAAGCCGTACATTGATTATGCTGAATTCACCGTAAGGACGGATCATCAGGCGCTCACCAATTTGTTTAGGTCAGAAACGAATAAAGTTGGAATGAATCCACGCTTGACAATATGGGCAATGGCATTACAAGGTCACCAATTTAAAATCGAATACAAACCGGGAAAATATTGTGACAACGCGGACGCGTTATCAAGAGCGCCAATTGAAGGCCCGACGTGTCACGAAGAAGAATTTGATGAGATTCCGAATTTCGAAGATTACAAGAAGGAGTTTGATACGAAGGAACCGGCAATTGAAGTTGGACAGCTGTTCCTGCAGATGGTGGAACAGAGGGAGAAACGATTAAAGGTCACTTCAGCTACGGCGAACGAGTCGGCTGAAAACGAAGCAAAAGTGAACCGAGTGAGAAGCTGGTTGCCCGCCGTTAGTGACTTAAAGGTCACCGGACTTGACGCGGACTCTCAAATGCAGAATGGAAAGGTCACGGGACTTGATGATAGAGCGGAGAATAGAGATGACCTTTGGGAAACGGACAAAGTGGCACAAGCGTTGAACGAATGCCCAATCAAACTGTTGAGATTCCCAAAACAGGCGAAAAAGAGGTACAAACCGTTACCGCGCTGCAAGGTCATCAGAGACTGGAACGAACTAGGTACGGCCACAGTTCGTATCGTCAACCTGCAAGGCGACGAAGAAGAGGAGGATGACTCCAATCTACAATTGCGAAACAAACAATTGAAGGATCCTCACCTGGCAATGATTATAGATGAACTGGAACATCTACCAGACGCTGAAACAAGATCGAAATTCGAAGTGCATTACCAGTTGTGGAACGGCATATTGTACCGAGTAAAAGATAAAAATGGAAAACTTGAAAGGTCATATGTCGTACCGTTGTCAATGCGAAGAGCGATAATCCACGCATTGCATGATGAGAAAGCAGCAGGCCATTTGGGATTTGAAAAGACATTATCAGCGATCAGACTCCGATATTATTGGGATCGAATGAGTACAGACGTGAAGAATTACATACTCGCCTGTCAAGGATGTCAGTTCCGTAAAACACCGAGGAAATGTCCACCCGGAAAATTGCAAGAGATTAAAGTGGGACATCCGTTCTTCCGAGTATATGCTGACTTGAAAGGACCTTTGTTACCGACGAAGAAACGTGGATACAAGTACATAGCGGTATTTATCGACCAACTGACGAAATACGTGATCGCGGTACCGATGAAAACAGCAACGGCTAAAGAATTCGCTAAAGTGTTCGTGAAGCACGTGATATTGGTACACGGAGCACCGCACATCCTGCATACGGATCGCGGACGACACTTTACAGCCGAAGTATTGGCAAAGGTCACCAATGTGTTTAAAATTAAACACACATTTGGAACGGCGTATCACCCAGAAGGTCAAGGTCAAGTGGAGAGACAGATGCAGACGATTGCTGACGGCTTGGCGCAATACCTAAAAGCGGGAAATGAGCGAAAGTTTAACAAGTATCTCCCATATGTTATTTCGGCGATGAACAGAGTCGTGCACGCCACAACGGGATATTCAGCATACTATATGCTACACGGCAGAGAAATGACAATGCCGGAAGATGTGGTTACAAAAACGAATATACCCGATGATTACGGAACTCCAGACGAATGGGTGGAGACCATGAAAAAGAACTTGACCTTTGCCGAAGAAGTGGCGAGATGCAACATCAAAGACGCATATGAGAAAAATGCGGAAATTTATAATAAGAAAAAATCGGAGCCGAATTTCAAAGTGGGCGATTTGGTACTTATACGACTTCCAAAAGATACTAAACAGGGGAAGAAAGAAAACCAGTCGGTTCAAGTCGAAGTACGATAAAGTGTGGAAAATTCTTAGCTTCCCGCGAACAAACGAAGCGGAGGTCATCCAATCACTTTATTGATCGGTTAAAGCCGTGGCATCCGCCATTACGACTGAAAGGGAAGAAAAAGTGGAATAAGCCGGGCGCAATATACCTCCTCAAAAAGAACCTTTCTTTGAACCACCTCCGCTACCTGAAATGGAAAGAAACAAATCTACAAAGAAAAGAGGAAGAAAGAAGAAAGAGGATAAGGATTTCGAAACAGCAGTCACAATCAAGTTGAACGCGGAGGCTGGTAATTTGGCAGAAAGGTCACTGGAACAAGACAACGAACCGATTCTCTAAAGTACCAGAGCGTACTTCCAAAAGGACCTGCAACAATCCTTTTTTCGAACCACGCACTGCTACCGAAGATAAGGATGACCTTTCGAAACAGCGTACGGACGCTGAGATGTCAGAGCGTGACCCGAATTTTTTCGAACCACGCACTGTTACCGGTAATGAGAATGACCTCATAAAAAAGAGAGAAGAGGAGATAGAAGCGGTCAAATCAAAAGCTGAACAATTGGGCCGTGATATAGCGAAAGCAATTAACGAGCGGAAAGCCAAACAGAAGAAAAAGAAATCGACACCTACGACTTCAAAGAAAGTTATTAATTCGGCTACGTCAGAACCGTTAAAGCCCAAAGGAAAGGTCATAGCGGTGAAACAAGCTGTCCCCATTGTCATCTCCGCATCCACGCCAAAAGAGCGCAAGGATAAACAGATTCGCGAAAAAGCGAAACGGGAGACGTCGCGTGAATCGGAGGCATCGGAAGCGAGCCTTCCCAAGCACTTCGACGGTCAGTGCAAGGTCACATACGGACTCGAAAACGACACGATCAAGAACCACTGAACCAAGAAGCCTAGCGGAAGCTCTGGATAAAGGGGAAAAAGCAAAGAGCGAACCCGTTAAGACAAAAGGGAAGGGCAAGACAGTCACGAAAATCGATGCATTAGCGACGGTTAATTACACTGAGCCAGATGGAGAGAGTGAACTGGACTTCACCTCAGACGAAGAATTTGATGGTCCCGATGATGATAATTTGAACACGGTCGATGAAGTCATCAGAGCGTACAACGGAGCTGAAAAGAATTTCACACGAATAAGAACAGCATCGGTGACATCCAAATTTAAAGCAGGCCTGAAGACGTATTTGAAGAAACAACATCGTAGCTTCACCAAACAAAAATTCGACGTCGTATTGGAATTCGCGCGGAACGCAGGAAAACTTATACAGAAGCACCCCAGCTTCTCGTATGAGGCCAAGTTGTTCAGACCAGCCAGTTCGGATAAAGCGCTGACAACTCCGAATGAAGCGGTCCCAATGCGAGTAGAAAGGGCAATCGCAGGGATGACAAGCCCGTTAGGATCGACAAGCCATCGGATTAGCCAATATATCAACGCAGTTTGGAACGACGGAAATGGAATGATAAAGGAGATCGACACGGCAACCGAACGCGCATTGCCAAAGTTGATTAAACAGAACGTCCTTGCCACGACAAACGCAAATAAAGGACACCCGATCCGATACACGAGAGTCGGTCTAATACCACCGGAAAGACAGATCCACTGTAATATGTCCGACAGTCAGGATATGGAAAAGGTCACAGTTTCATCGAAGACAAAAGGCCCAATGGACTCGGAATCGGGAAGTGATGACGATACTACAACAACGGCTCCTTCTAGACCTGCGACAGAAAAAGGTGAACAGTCGAAAGGTCAAGAAACATCGGGAACTACCGCAGAAGATCAACCGAAAGGTCATGAGACGTCAGATAAACGGGAGAAAGAAAAGGTCGTGCTCCCGATGGATAAGGCAGCGGCAGAAGCTGAAGCGGATTCGGCGCGCCAGGTGTTTCTAAATCACTGTTCATACCATTAAAGGACGTCTTTGAGAAGGAACGATCGAAGTCGGTCGGCGATTTAAAGGTCAAGAGACTTTGCCACAGGAGGAGAAGAAGACAGCCGAACCAAAATCGGCGGGGTCATCATCAGGATCATTGGCAAAGCTGAGGATCGACGAGACAGCGACAGCTGACCCAACGGACTCGACATCCTCCCAGAAAAGTAGCGGTACACCGGCAAAGGCTACAGATTACATGTTAGGGCCGGCATTGGACGTGAATAATCGTACATGGAACGAAGTCCAGAACGCGCTCCAGATCATCCGAGAAAAAGAGATGCTTGGTACAGATCTGAAGAGACAAGTGGCAATAAATTCAAACGGAAGGTCGTCACTTAACATGACTGAACGAGTCTTGAAACGAGCTTATAAAGAAGGAAAGTTGGGATGTAAATATAACAAGGACAACAAAGTCGTCTACTACCTTCCGAAACAGGGTCAGGAACGAACGCCCAGATTGAAAATGGAATTGGAGGCTTGGAAGATAGCCATCACAGACGTGGCTTTGGACGCCATCGGCGGTACAAATGGAGCGTCATGGAATGACCTTTCAAACTTCATGGCCGTCAATTACGAATTGGGAGATTTGAATATTGAAAGCGATAAAGAGTGGATTAAGAATGCCGTTGAAGCCTTGATCGCGGACGAAGTGCTTCATATTAAGCCAGATGGCCGAATCGATTTCAAGCCGTATAAACCATCGACGAAAGAATCCGAGTGAACTAATCGAGTGTAATATGCAGCGAGTAATGAACCCTGCATATTACAGAAAAAGCATAAAACAGTTTAAAACGAAAGCGAAAAGTGTTACGAAAGGTCAACTGAAAGCAGTACTAGGACTAATAGAAAAGGTCACAGTAGTCAGAAAGTGCTGATAACGTGAGAAAGGTCACCACGTTACAGTGATAGAAAAGGCAGCAGGAGCTAGGAAAGTCTCAGCTCAGTAACGGAATAGGCGTAAAAATGATAGAAAAGCCTTGATATGGATAGGAAATGGAAGGATTAACGTGGAAAAGTTAATATGACGGATTGTTTTATAATTACAGATTGAAGCGAAAAATGGCACAGAAAGGTCAAGCCACTCCTAAACGTACGGGAACGGCGGCAGACATCGACCAGTTTACGGGCTACAATCCGAAATGTCCGGACTGCTTAAGGAACAACAAAAAGGTTGACAAGAAATTCCCTTGCTACACTTGTATTCACAAGCTGGAAGACCCACATACCGTCACGCTTGTTGGGGTCATGGAAGCCAAACGTGGGAACTTGGACGTTTGCAATCTGATAAGCGCAAGAAATTACGGCAGCATCCCAGTGGAAGAGCGAATGCTACTCGAGGATCGCTACCGGGAAGCGATCCGGAACAACGAACCGGGTTGGGATGACACCTTGGAGCCGTTGAAGTGTCCACATACAGACGCGTATCGGAAGAAATTCGCAGAGGACCAGGAGAAGATGCGAGTTCAGCAAATGGAAGACGAACTCCGCGCGAAAATTAATGCGGAAAATAAGAGGGCAAGTGAACAGGCCGCACGAGAGGCGTTGCCCAGTACGTCGGGTTTAGCTGCACCCACGGGCATGGCCAGCCTTAAGGAAGATGAAATGCAACTCGTACGACAGTCGCTTATCATTCAAATTGAAACGTTAACGAAAGATCCAGCTGCTATGTCAGACGAGGTATTCAAAATGCTGTTGCGGGAGAAGAAACGACTTCAAGACGGGTTCGCGCCGGCACCTTACATAAAGAAGGAAGTCGAAAGACGTATGGATGACCTACGTAGATCTCGCCGAACCGAAAGCGATGTACTGCAAGCACTCAGAAGCTTCAAACGGGATGAAGGCTTCATACGGCCACGATCGCCTCCGCATAAAGAAAGGTCACGCGGACATTCACGTGAATATGAGCGAACTTCGGAACGACAGAGGGAAAGGTCACGCGAACACTCTCGTGAGAGGACACGTGACTACCGCAACGAAAGGTCACGCGAACGCTCTCATGACAGAGATTACCGTGGCGGAAGAGGATGGGTGCGCCATGGAGACGAAGTTACAGAAATGAGTATTCAAAGGAAAATCGATACGGCAAAGATTTTGGCGGCGACGAGAGGACGTGAAGAAAAACGGCGTGCGGAGACATTCCGTACAGAGCCTGAAAAGCAAGGGCATCAGGTGCCGATGGGAGTCGCATTCCGGAATCGTAACGTCAGGATGTCAACACCCGAAAGGTCATGGGATAAAAGACGTGAACATACGCGAAATCGAACGCCTGACCCACAGGATAAAAGATGGCAACAGAGAGCCGCATTTTATGCGACCTTTGACTCGGGCGCAAGCAAAAGGTCATCAAGCACTGAACGGGAAGATTCACCTCCAAAGTATCAGCGGGTGGAGTCAGTGGTTCACGTTGTGGATCCAATTGTGAGCGCCGTACAAGAAGATGACGCGATGGAAGGCACTGGCTCAGTTGTCGAAACCACGTCTCAAGAGAATGTGACTCACCGACGAAATGTAATTCTGGATAGTGACCTCCAACCGGAACAACCGGCGAGTAACGAACCGTTGCAGCCTGAGTCAGGAGAACAACGTGAACCAGAAGGTCAACGAGAACCGGATAATCATCGCCGGGCTGATCAGCGACAGAACTCCAGATTTGACAACCGACGTCCTGAAAGTATCGATATGGAATATAAGACGACTGATATTGATGAACAAACGGTCAAAATTTGTCGATACTTTGGACTTGAGCCGGATTCGGTTGAAGCCAACAAAATTGGCACAATTCTGAGACAGTTGAGCCAATTCCTACTTGACTCGGGTTATGCGAGAGAGATTAAACAAGGAGTGGAACAAGGACATTTCCGTCAGTTATTCATCCACCGCGATTCAGTACGGGATTGTTATCTCCCTATCCGACGGAATGGGCTACACAGCCTGGTGGATTTGAGTTTATTGGATGTACCGCTGGATACAACTGACCCAATCGGGATGACACAGTTCTATTACAGAGACTATCCCGAACGACAAGAATATGTGGCTCAGTTTGTCTTGCGACATGTGAATCCAGCTTTCAAGTTGCTTGCAGCAAGGGCATCGATAGGACTACAGGTGGATCCTAAGGACTATGCCGCAAAAAGGATGGGGCAAAAGGTCTTTGCTGCGAGACTGGCACATTACAAGACACAGAATCAATTGGTGTCTAATACCATGAAGGACGACATTCCACCGTTCTTCCGAGCTCATGTCGCCAAGCTGGGACAACCGATGGAACATATCAGCATAGCGCATACGGCTCGGAAGGCGCTGAAGAAATGTAAGACACGGATGGAAAAGGGCAACTTGACACAGCGCCACGCATCCCAAGTAGAAGAAAGGATTAATAAGATTAAAGATTCTCTGGGAAGCGACTACGTCGAACCGGTGGACGGAATCGAAACTTACATTGATGAATTCTTAGTGAAGAAAAGTGACCGTCGTCCAGACCGTGCGCCTAACCAGATGGGACGACGCGGCATACGAAACCAACAGCTGCGGGATAATCTCGCCGACGTGCAGCGTCGATTGGCAGATGACCCTGATAATCGAAGGCTGCGACTGGAAGAAAATGATGCGCGCCATCGACTAGAGGCGGTTAAGCGCAGTCGCCAAGGGAAAGGTCGTGGCCAGCGCGAAGTTGACCCGACAAAGGTCATGGAAGTTGACTCGACGGAACCAGTTGACCGAACTTCCGACCGAAACCAACCGGAAAGCGCTAAGAAACGCCCGCCGAGAGATGGCGAGGGCGATTCAAATGAAATGGAATAGTGTTGACCTTTAGGATCACACTATTAAAAGGACGTCTACGGCATTTGTCGGTACGTCACAAAGATGAAAATGGTGTTGTATAAAGGACGTGACACGTGACATGTTAACATAAACTGTATTTGTGTATTTGTTGTTTGCAGCGTTTATA